TGGGGGGGTCACCAAGGTGGGGATGGTGGGGGGGCGTCTCATAGAGGGTGGAGAAGGTCCCCAAAGCTTGGGGGGGTCCCCAAAATGGAGGAGGTCCCATGGAGGGGGTCCCCAAAATGGGGACAGTCCCCAAAATGGGAGGTCCCCAAGGCCTGAAGGGTCCCCAAAATGGAGAAAGTCCCCAAAATGGGGATGGTCCTCAAAATGGGGGGTCCCATGAGGGTCCCATGGGTGGGAGGCCCCCAAAATGTGGGGGGGTCACCAAGGTGGGCACAGTCCCCAAAATGGGGGGGGTCTCATAGAGGGTGGAGAAGGTCCCCAAAACCTGAAGGGTCCCCAAGGCCTGAAGGGTCCCCAAAATGGAGAAAGCCCCCAAAATGAAGAGGTCACCAAGGTGGGGACAGTCCCCAAAATGGGGGGTCCCATGGAGGGGATCACCAAAATGGGGATGGTCCCCAAAATGGGGAGGGGGGGTCCCCAAGGCCTGAGGGGTCCCCAAGGTGGAGAAAGTCCCCAAAATGGGGGGGGTCCCATGGAGGGGATCCCCAAAATGGGGATGGTCCCCAAAATGGGGAGATCCCATTGAAGGTCCCTAAATTGGGGGGGTCACCAAGGTGGGGACAGTCCCCAAAATGGGGGGCCCCCAAAATGGAGAATGTCCCCAAAATGGGGGGTCCCCAAAATGGAGAATGTCCCCAAAATGGGGGGGTCACCAGGGTGGGGACAGTCCCCAAAATAGGGGGGTCCCATGGAGGGTCCCATGGGTAGGAGGTCCCCAAAATGGGGGGGGGTTACCAGGATGGGGATGGGGTCACCTAAATGGGGGGGGGGGGTCTCATGGAGGGGGGTCCCCAAAATGGAGACAGTCCCCAAAATGGGGGGGTCCCCAAAGTGGAGAAGGTCCCCAAAATGGGGGGATCCTATGGGGGGGGTCCCATGGGTGGGAGGTCCCCAACATGGTGGAGTCACCAAGGTGGAGAAGGTCCCCAAAATAGGGGGTCTCATAAAGGGGGTCCCCAAAATGGGGATGGTCCCCAAAATGGGGGTCCCATGGGTGATGTCCCCAAAGTGGGGAGGGGGGAGGTCCCCAAATTAGGGTGGGGGTCCCCAAATTAAGGTGTGGGGTGTCCCCAAACTGGGGGGGGTGGGGCCAACCCAGCGCTACCTCCCAACTCTGCTCACTGCCAGGGGACCCCCCTCCTTTTCCTTGGCTTAATTAAGTTTTAATTAATTCTTAATTAATCCCTGGGGCTCACTCATTAATTTTAAAATCATTTTCCCCTCCTCCTTTTTTTTTTTCCCGGCGGGTTTTTTTTGGGGTTTCTTTTTTTTTTTTTTTTTTTAAAGCCTCGAGGTTTTTATTTATTATTATTAAAAAATAAAAAAACAAAAAACGACTGGAAAAAAAAATAAAATTCCGAATTTAAGGGACGGACCCGGCCCTCGCTCCCTCCCCCAGGGTTTTCCCAGGATTCCCCCGATCCCGTGAATTCCCTCGGGAATTCCTTCGGGAATTTTCCTCCTCTCTTCCCCCCCCCCCCCCCAGTCTCAGAGGGGGGGGGGGGGTTGGGGGTTGGATTTTTGGGGTCCCCCCAAAAAGGGGCCGCCGAATTCTGTATTTGGGGGGGGCTCCGGCCCCTCCTCGCGTGTGAATAAAGCTCCGTATGGAAAGCGCTGCTGGTTCCTGGTGCCTTTTGGAGCGGGAAAAAGGCGGGAATTTGGGATGGGAGTTGGGAATTTGGGATGGGAGTTGGGAATTTGGGATCCTGTCTGTCCCCAAGTGTCCCCAGGGTCGCGTTCCTCCGATCCCCCCGCTGTCGGTTCCACCCGGAGCATTTTTATTGTCGCACCAACCTCGAAGGTGCTCCCCGCATTCCGGTCCCCCCATGCTGCTATTTCCGGTTGCCGCTGTCGCGACAGGGCGTGGCTATCGCGACAAAGAAGCCGCGGGTGTTTTTATGATCGGCAGGACCAGTGGGGGCTTTTTATGGGGGAATCTATAGGGGAAAGCCTCAAAAGGCCCCTCCCATTGCAGGGCACCCCCTAAAATCCCACAGGGAACCCCAAGCGAGCCCAGGGAGCTTCCCCCTGCCCAGCGCCCCAAAACCACCCCAGGAACTTTCCCAGGACCCCCAAAACCATCACAGAGCCCCCCAAAACCACCCCAAAGACCCCCAAACCAGCCCAGGGTGCCTCCTCCACCCCAGCGCCCCAAAAACCACCCCAGGAACTTCCCCGGGATTCCCAAAACCATCGCAGAGCCCCTCAAAACAAACCCAGGGACCCCCCCAACCAGCCCAGGGAGCCTCCCCCTGCCCAGCGCCCCAAAACCACCCCAGAAACTTCTCCGGGATCCCCAAAACCATCGCAGAGCGGCCCAAAACCACCCCATGGACCCCCACACCAACCCCTCCCACAGCAATTCCCGGGGTTCCCCTCAGGAATTCTCCCCTCACGAATTCGAGCCGCGGGCCCTCAGGAGGACCGGGCTGGGTCTGCGCCGCTGTTCCCGCAGGAATTCCGGTTCCCAGCGCTTCGGCAGCGGCCGCAGCTCCCGGTGCCGCTCCGTGGCCGCGGGATCGGGGATTGGAACCGGGATCAGGACCGGGATCGGGGGGAAAACTGGGGCCGCCTCAGAGCGAACATCCCGCTCCTGCCGCGCGCTAGCCAATGGGAAAGCAGGGATTAGTGATTGACAGTAAAACGAGCCAATGAACATCAAAGTTCCGCGAAGCGCCCGCCCACACACCAACAACCAATTAGACGCTAGGATAAACTTTGACAGACAGCTGGCAGAGCCAATAACAGCACGATGCTCCGCCCCTAGGGTGGATCTCGCTCGTTGATTGGCGAACGCAGCGCGCAGACCCGGAGGTGGAGCTTCCGTACGGGCAGGGGCGGGCGGGGGCTGCGGGCAGGCGGTGAGTGGGGGACGCCATGTTGGGGGGGGCTCCGGGACGGGTTTGGGGGTTCGGGGGGTCCCGGGGGGGGCCTCAGGAGATTGGGGGGACCCTGTGGGAGTTTAGGGGGGTCTGGGGGCGCTCCTTGGGGGGGTTCAGAGGGGCTGGGGAGGGGTCCCGGGCTGGGTTGGGAAGGATGGGAAGGACCCTGTGGGTGGGACGGGCTGGATTGGGGATCCCGGAGGCTCCCTGAGGGAATTTTGGGGGGTCCCCAAAGGAGGGGGTTTGGTTTTGGGGTTCCTCGGTCTGGTTTTAGGGGATCCCTGGGCTGGGTTTTGGGGGGGCGGGGTGGGGTCCCTGGGCTGGGTTAGGGGGATTTGGGGAGGTCCGTGAAAGGTTTGGGGGTCCTGGGGTTCGTCTGGGGGGATTTGGGGGGGTCCCTGGAGTGGTTTTGGGGTCCCTGGACTGGTTTAGGGGTTTCTGGATTAGTTTTAGGGTCATCAAACTGGTTTTGGGGTCCCTGGAGTGGTTTAGGCGGTCCTGGAATGGTTTTAGGATCCCTGGACTGGTTTGGGGATCCCTGGACTGGTTTGGGGGTCCCTGGACTGGTTTTGGGGTCCCTGGGGTGGTTTCGGGGTCCTTGGGGTGGTTTCGGGGTCCTTGGAGTGGTTTAGGGGATCCTGGACTGGTTTTGGGATCCCTGGAGTGGTTTAGGGGGTCCTGGAGTGGTTTGGGGTCCCCAAACTGGTTTTGGGGTCCTCAAACTGGTTTTGGGGTCCCTGGAGTGGTTTAGGGGGTCCTGGACTGGTTTTAGGATCCCTGGATTGGTTTTGGGGTGTATCGGGACTGGTTGTGGGGTCCCCAAACTGGTTTTGGGAATCCCTGGACTGGTTTTTGGGGTCCCTGGGCCAGGTTTGGGGATCCCTGGACTGGTTTAGGGGTTTCTGGACTGGTTTTGGGATCCCCAAACTGGTTTTGGGGTCATTGGACTGTTTTAGGGTCCCTGGACTGGTTTGTGGCGTGTCTGGACTGGTTTTGGGGTCCCTGGATGGGTTTGGGGGATCCTTGGGCTGGATTTGGGGGTCCCTGGAGTGACTTAGGGGGTCCTGGATGGGTTTGGGGGTCCCTGGAGTGGGTTTGGGGCTCCTTGGACTGGGTTTGGGGCTCCTGGGCTGGTTTGGGGGATCCTGGAGTGGTTTAGGGGTCACTTGACTGGTTTGGGGGTATCTGGGCTGAGTTCGGGGTCCCTGGACTTGTTTGAGGTCCCTGAACTCTTTCTGGGGATCTCTGGACTGGTTTGGGGTCTTTGGTTTGGTTTAGGGGGTCCCCAGGCCGAGTTTGGGGTCCCTGGACTGGTTTAGAGTCCCTTGACGGGTTTAGGGGACCCCTGGACTGGGTTTGGAGTTTCTGGGCTGGTTTTGGGGTCCCTGGACTGGTATGGGGTGGCTGGACTGGTTTGGGGGTTCCTAGAGTGGTTTTGGGATCCCTGAACTGGCTTAGGGGATCCCTGGACTGGTTTGGGGGTCCCTGGGCTGGGCTTGGGGGATCCTTGGACTGGTTTAGGGATTCGTGGAACGGTTTTGGGGTCCCTAGACTGGGTTTGGGGGTCCCTGGACTGGTTTGAAAGTCCCTGGACTGGTTTGGGGGTCCCTAGACTGGTTTGGGGTGCCTGGAATGGTTTTAGGATCCCTGGATTGGTTTAGGGGGTTCTGTGCTGGTTTGGGGGTCCCTGGACTGGTTTTGGGGTCCCTGGGTTGGTTTTAGGATCCCTGGATTGGTTTAGGGGGTTCTGTGCTGGTTTAGGGTTCTTGGACTGGTTTTGGGGTCCCTGGACCGGTTTAGGGTTCTCCAAACCGGTTTTGGGGTCCCTGGACTGGTTTAGGGTTCTCCAAACCGGTTTTGGGGTCCCTGGACTGGTTTAGGGTCCTTGGACTGGTTTTGGGGTCCCTGGACCGGTTTAGGGTTCTCCAAACCGGTTTTGGGGTCCCTGGACTGGTTTAGGGTCCTTGGACTGGTTTTGGTGTCCCTGGACTGTTTTAGTGCTCCCCAAACCGTTTTTGGGGTCCCCGGGCAGCTTTGGGGGGGATTCCTGGGCGCGCCTCCCTTGGGGTCACTCCCAGCCCCCATTTTTGGGAACCCTCCGCTCACCCCTCCCATCCCCCACCCCCCGTTTCTCTCCCACAGCTTTCGGGAAACCCCCCCCGGGAATTCCGGAACGTTCCCGGCCCCCGAATCAACGCCGCCGCCATGGCTCCGTCGCGCAGCCGCTCCTCCACGCAGATCCCGCCGTGCGTCCCCAAGCGCCAGCTCCCGCCGGGATACTCGGATTCCCTCCTCTTCCTCTGCGCCCGCCGCATGGTGGCGCAGCACCCGCTGCCCGTGCTCCTGCCCGCCCTGCCCGCCCACCTCTACCCCATCCTCTTCCAAGCGGCGTTCCTGGACGGGAGGCCCCTGGTGCTGCGGGATTTGGTGGCCGCTTGGCCGTTCCCGGTGCTCAACTTCCAGCGGCTGGTGGGGCGCCGGGAGCTGCTGCGGGACCATCCCTGCAAGCTCTGCGTCCAGGCCGTCATCCTGGCCGTGGTGGCGCAGCTGCGGCGGCAGCTGGAGGAGCCCGGCCACGACGCCAGGTGGGTCCTGGGCAGCGCGGGGACGGGGGCGCCTCCGAGCCTGCGGCGCCTCCATCGCTCTGGGGGGCTCCTGATGGGTTTCGATGGTTCCTTCCCATTTCTGATGGTAACTTCCCATTTTTGATGGTTTCTTGCCACTTTAGATGGCTCCTTCCTGGACAGTCCCATCCTGTTTTTGATGGTTCCTTCCAGTTTTTGATGGTTTCTTGCCACTTTAAATGGTTCCTTCCTGGACAGTCCCATCCTGGTTTTGATGGTTCCTTCCCATTTTTGATAGTTCCTTGCCATTTTAGATGACTCCTACCTTGACGGTTCCTTCCCATTTTTGTTGGTTCCTTCCAGTTTTTGATGGTTCCTTGCCGTATTTTATGGTTCTTTCCCATTTTTGATAGTTCCTTCCAGTTTTTAATGGTTCTTTCCCATTTTTGATGGTTCCTTCCTGTTTTTGATGGTTCCTTCCAGTTTTTGATGGTTCTTTCCCATTTTTGATGGTTTCTCCTTGGTTTTGATGGTTCCTGCCCATTTTTGATGCTTTCTTGCCACTTTAGATGGTTCTTTAACAGTTCCATCCCAGTTTTGATGGCTCCTTTCTCCCTCCAGTTTTTCATGGTTTTCTTTTTGTTTTTGATGGTTTCCTTCTTGTATTTGATGGTTCTTTCTTGTATTTGATGGTTCCTGCTTTTGATAATTCCTTCCCATTTTTGATGGTTCCTTCCCATGTTTGATGGTTCCTTCCCTGTTGATTACTTCCTGGTTTTGATGGTTTTTGCCGTGGTGGCGCAGCTGCGGCGGCAGCTGGAGGAGCCCGGCCACGACGCCAGGTGGGTCCTGGGGAGCGCGGGGACGGGGGCGCCTCCGAGCCTGCGGCGCCTCCATCGCTCTGGGGGGTCCTGATGGGTTTCCTTCTTGGTTTTGATGGTTCCTTGCCACTTTAGATGGTTCCTTCCTTGACAGTCCCATCCTGTTTTTGATGGTTCCTTCCCATTTTTGATAGTTCCTTCCAGTTTTTGATGGTTCCTTGCCATTTTAGATGACTCCTACCTTGACGGTTCCTTCCCATTTTTGATGGTTCCTTCCTGTTGTTGATGGTTCCTTCCAGTTTTTGATGGTTCCTTGCCGTATTTTATGGTTCTTTCCCATTTTTGATAGTTCCTTCCAGTTTTTGATGGTTCCCTCCTGTTTTTGATGGTTCCTTCCCGTTTTTGATGGTTTCCTCCTGTTTTTGATGGTTTCCTGCCATTTTTGATGGTACCTTCCTGTTTTTGATGGTTCTTTCCTTGACAGTCCCATCCCATTTTTGATGGTTCCTTCCCATTTTTGATGATTTCTTGCCATTTTTGATGGTTCCCTCCTGTTGTTGATGGTTTCCTCCTGTTTTTGATGGTTCCTTGCCATATTTTATGGTTCTTTCCCATTTTTGATAGTTCCTTCTTGTTTTTGATGATTTCTTGCCATTTTTGATAGTTCCTTCCAGTTTTTGATGGTTCTTTCCCGTTTCTGATGGTTCCTTCCCATTTTTGATTTTGATAGTTTCTTGCCACTTTAGATGGTTCCTTCCTGGACAGTCCCATCCTGTTTTTCATGGTTTCTTCCCATTTTTGATAGTTCCTTCCAGTTTTTGATGGTTCCTTGCCGTATTTTATGGTTCTTTCCCATTTTTGATAATTCCTTCCAGTTTTTAATGGTTCCTTCCCATTTTTGATGGTTCCTCCCATTTTTCACAGTTTCCTCCCATTTTGGAGAGTTCTTCCGCGTTTTTGATGCTTCAGTCCCATTTTTGATGCTTTCCTTCCCATTTTGGATGGTTTCCTCCTGTTTTTTGTTTTGTGCCTTTTTGATGGTTTCCTCCCATTTTTGATGGTTCCTTGCTAGTTTTGATAGTTCTTTCCCATTTTTGATGGTACCTTCCTGTTTTTGATGGTTTCTTGCCACTTTAGATGGTTCTTTCCTGGACAGTCCCATCCTGTTTTTGATGGTTCCTTCCCATTTTTGATGGTTCCTTCCAGTTTTTCATGGTTCCTTCCAGTTTTTGATGGTTCCTTCCCATTTTTGATGATTTCTTGCCATTTTTGATAGTTCCTTCCAGTTTTTGATGGTTTCCTCCTGGTTTTGATGGTTCCTTGCCGTATTTGATGGTTCCCTCCTGTTTTTGATGGTTTCTTGCCACTTTAGATGGTTCCTTCCTGGACAGTCCCATCCTGTTTTTGATGGTTCCTTCCCATTTTTGATAGTTCCTTCCAGTTTTTGATGGTACCTTCCTGTTTTTGATGGTTTCTTGCCATTTTAGATGACTCCTACCTTGACGGTTCCTTCCCATTTTTGATGGTTTCTCCTTGGTTTTGATGGTTCCTGCCCATTTTTGATGGTTCCTGCCCATTTTTGATGCTTTCTTGCCACTTTAGATGGTTCCTTAACAGTTCCATCCCGTTTTTGATGGCTTCTTTCTGTTTTCGATTGTTCCCTCCAGTTTTTCATGGTTTTCTTTTTGTTTTGGATGGTTTCCTTCTTGTTTTTGATGGTTTTTTCCTGGTTTTGATAATTCCTCCTCATTTTTGATGGTTCCTTCCCGGTTTTGATGGTTTCTTCCTGGTTTTGACGGTTTCCTCCCATTTTTGATGGATTCTTCTGATTTTTAATGGTTCCTTCCCATTTTTCATGGTTTCCTCCTGTTTTTGATGGTTCCTTCCTGGTTTTGATGGTTCCTTCCTGGTTTTGACAGTTTCCTCCCATTTTTCATGGTTTCCTCTCATTTTTGATAGTTCCCTTCTGTTTTGATGGGTCCATCCCATTTTTTACCTTTTTAATCGTTCCTTCTTGTATTTGATGGTTTCCTCCCGTTTTTGATGGTTCCTCCCCGTTTTTGATTGTTCTTTCCTGTTTTCCATAGTTTCTTCCTGTTTGATGGCTCCTTCCCTTTTTTGATGGTTTCCTCCTGTTTTTGATGGTTCCTTCGCGTTTTTGATGGTTTCTCCTTGTTCTTGATGGTTCACATTTTTGATGGTTCCTTTCCAATTTTGATGGTTTCCTCCCATTATTCATGGTTTCCTCCCATTATTCATGGTTTCCTCCCATTTTTGATGATTTCTTCCTGTTTCTGATGGTTCCTTCCCATTTTTTATGGTTTCTTGCCATTTTTGATGGTTCTTTCCTGGTTTTGATGGATTTCTCCCTGTTTTTGATGGTTCCTTCCCATTTTTGATGGTTCTTTCCTGTTTTTGATGGTTTCCTCCCTGTTTCTGATGGTTCCTTCCTGTTTCTGATGGGTTCCTTCCCATTTTTGATGGTTTCCTCCCTGTTTTTGATGGTTTGTTCCGTTTTTTTCCCAGCGGGTGCCGCCTACGCGTGCTGGACGTGACGGGAGTTCCGGACGATCCGGCCGGCCGCGCTCCGGACGGGATGAGCGTCTGGTCGGGCACGGTGGCTTTGGCCAAGGCTTGCGTGGAGGTGTCCAAGCACCAGCGGGAATTCCAGCGGCGCGGATCCAAGCGGCACAAAGGCCGCTCCGGAGCCGCCACGGCCGCGGCCGCTCCGCAGCCCCCGGGCGTGGACGTGCACGCCGACCTGTTCGTCAACGGAACGTCCTACGGGATCCTGCGCGACGCGCTCCAGACCGGAGCCGCCGGCCCGCTGCGCCTCAAGTGCCGCGAGTTCCAAGCGGAAAAGCTCTCGCTGGCCGGAATCGTCAGCCTGCTGGAAACTCTGGATCCCTCCTGCGTGCGGAGGGTGGATCTGCGCTTCCGGAATTTGGGATTGACCGGGCTCTCGGTGATCCTGCCGCACCTCTCGCGCTTCCCGGAGCTGCGCAGCCTCAAGCTCCAGTACAGCAACGTGGACGTGCGGCGCCCCACGCCGGAATCGGCCATCGGGATCCGCTGCCTGGCCGGGCAGCTGGGAATGCTGCCCAGCCTCCGCGAGCTCAACCTGGGATCCTCCCGGCTCTCCGGGAACCTGCGCCAGATCCTCTGGTGAGCTCCCGGCGCAGCGGGGCCTGGCCGGGCCCTTCCCGCGCTCCCGGGGGATTCCCAAGGGTTGGGGGTCCCGGGGGTCTTTCCCAGCCTGAGTGATCCCGTGGTTCCAGGATTCCGTTATCCCCATGTTCCCATGATTCCTTTATCCCAATAGTTCATGACTCAGTGATTCCATGGTCCCTTAATTCCATGATCCCAAAATTCAGTGAGTCCAGGATTCTCCAAGGCTGAACTTGATGATCTTGGAGGTCTTCTCCAATCTTAGTGACTCCATGATTCCAGGATTTCATTATCCCAACATTCCCATGATCCCATCAGCCCAATATCTTACGACTCAACGATTCCACCATCCCATAATTCCAAGATCCCACAATTCCTTAATTTCAAGATTCCCAAAGGTTGGGCTTGATGGTCTTGGAGGTCTTCTCCAATCTTAATGATCCCACAATTCCAGAAATTCATCATCTCATTGTTCCCATGATTCCATTGTCTCCATAGCTCATGGCTCAGTGATTCCATGATCCCATCATTCCAAGATCCCAGGATTCCCAAAGGCTGAACTTGGCGATCTTGGAAGTCTTCTCCAATCTTTGTGACCCCGTGATTCCAAGATGTTACTGTCCCAATATTCTGTTATCCTGAGATTTTATGACTCAACGATTCCATCATCCCATAATTCCACGATCCCACAATTCCAGGAGTCTCAGAGGTCAGGCTCGATGGTCTTGGATGTCCTTCCCAGCCTGAGTGATCCCGTGGTTCCAGGATTTCGTTATCCCCATGTTCCCATGATTCCTTTATCCCAATAATTTGTGACTCAGTGATTCCATTGTCCCATCACTCCAAAATCCCAAAATTCAGTGATTCCAGGATTCTCCAAGGCTGAACTTGATGATCTTGGAGGTCTTCTCCAATCTTAGTGACTCCATGGTTCCAGGATTTCATTATCCCAACATTCCCGTGATCCCATCATCCCAATATCTTATGACTCAAGGATTCCACCATCCCATAATTCCTTAACTTCAAGATTCCCAAAGTTTGGGTTTGATGGTCTTGGAAGTCTTCTCCAATCTCAATGATCCCACAATTCCAGAAATTCATCATCTCATTGTTCCCATGATTCCATGGTCTCCATAGCTCAATGACTCAGTGATTCCATGATCCCATCATTCCAAGATCCCAGGATTCCCAAAGGCTGAACTTGGCGATCTTGGAAGTCTTCTCCAATCTTTGTGACCCCGTGATTCCAAGATGTTACTGTCCCAATATTCTGTTATCCTGAGATTTTATGACTCAACAATCCCATCATCCCACAATTCCAGGGGTCTCAGAGGTCAGGCTTGATGGTCTTGGGGGCCTTTCCCAGCCTGAGTGATCCCGTGGTTCCAGGATTTCATTATCCCAATGTTCCCATGATTCCCTTATCCCAATAGTTCCTGACTCAGTGATTCCATTGTCCCATCATTCCATGATCTCAAAATTCAGTGATTCCAGGATTCTCCAAGGCTGAACTTGGCGATCTTGGAGGTCTTCTCCAATCTTAGTGACTCCATGGTTCCAGGATTTCATTATCCCAACATTCCCGTGATCCCATCATCCCAATATCTTACGACTCAACGATTCCACCATCCCATAATTCCAAGATCCCATAATTCCTTAATTTCAGGATTCCCAAAGGTTGGGCTTGATGGTCTTGGAGGTCTTCTCCAATCTTAATGATCCCACGATTCCAGGAATTCATCATCTCATTGTTCCCATGATTCCATGGTCTCAATAGCTCTTGACTCAATGATTCCGTCATCCCATAATTTCATGATCCCATAATTCCTTGGTCCACGATTCCCAAGGTTTGGTCTCGATGGTCTTGGAGATCTTTTCCAACCTTGATGATCCCAGGTTCCCATGATCCCATTGTACCAATAGTCCATGACTCCATGATCCCATAACTCTATGATTTCCTGACTCCATGATCCCATAATTCCTTGTTTCCAGAATTCCAAAAGGTTGGGCTTGATGATCTGGAAGTCTTCTCCAACTTCAATGGCTCCATGACCTCATAACTCCATGATCCCATAAGTTCATGACTCCCTGATCCCAGAATCCCAATATCCCATGATTGCCTAATTCCATAACTCCGTGATCCCAATATCCCATGATTGCCTAATTCCATAACTCCGTGATCCCAATATCCCATGATTGCCTGATTCCATAACTCCACGATCCCAAGACCCCATAACTCCACAATTCCCTGGCTCCATGACCCCATAATTCCATGATTCTCAAAGGTACAACTTGATGGTCTTGGAGATTTTCCTCAATCTCAGCCATTCCATAATTCCATAACTCCCACGATCCTCAAATGTCAAAGATGATGGCGTTGAACACCTTTCCCGACCCGAGTAATTCCATAATTCCATGATCCCATCATTCCAAAATCCCAGGATTTTCAGAGGTCGAACTTGATGTCCTTGGAGCTCTTTCCCAACCTCAGCCATTCCATAATTCCATTATTTGATTCCACAATTCCGTGACCCCATGATCCCATAATTCCATGATTCTCAAACCTTGACCTTGATGTTCTTGGAAACCTTTCCCAACCTCAGCCATTCCGTAACTCCTTGACCCCATAATTCCACAATCCCAGGATTTCAGAGGTCAAACCTGGTTTTCTTGGAGATCTTTCTCAAGTTCAGCCATTCCACAATTCCATTGCTCCCTGATCCCATAATTCCATGATTCTCAAACCTTGATCTTGATGGTCTTAGAGTCCTTTCCTGACCTGAGTAATTCCATGATTCCATGACCCTGTAACTCCAAACTCCCAGGATTTTCAGAGGTCAGACTCGATGTTTTTGAAGCTCTTTCCCAATCTCACCCATCCCACAATCCCACGATCCCATGGATGCAATCCCAGCTCTCATTCCCCACATTTCCCCCCTGAATCCCAACAAATCCTCACCTGTCCCTCTTCCCTCCCTCCAGCGACCTCCAGGCTCCGTTGGAAAGCCTGGAATTGGCCTTCTGCTCCCTCGTTCCCGCCGACCTCGCCTTCCTCTCCCAAGGAGTCTCTCCATGGCTCCAGAACTCTGGGATCCCAGCATTCCGTAATCCCACATTCCCCAATTCCATGAATTATGATCACAGATCCCATGATCCCAGAACTCCATGATCCCATCATTCCATCATTCCATGATTTTCTAAGCTTGAAGTTGATGGTCCTGGAGCTTTTCCCCAACCTCAGCCATTCCATAACTCCACGATTCCATGAACACGCAAATGCCTGACCCCACAATTTCATGGATCCATAATTCCATAACTCCATGATCCCATGATCCTCAGGTGTCAACCCTGATGGTGTTGCAGTCCTTTCCCAACCTGAGTAATTCCATAATTCCATTATTTGATTCCACAATTCCGTGACCCCATGATCCCTTAATTCCATGATCCCCAAACGTTGACCTTAATGTTCTTGGAAACCTTTCCCAGCCTCAGCCATTCCATAACTCCATGATCCCATCATTCCAAAATCCCAGGATTTCAGAGGTCAAACTTGATGTTCTTGGAGATCTTTCCCAACCTCAGCCATTCCATAACTCCATGACCCCGTGATCCCATAATTCCATAATCCTCAAACCTTGAACTTGATGGTCTTGGAGGTTTTCCCCAACCGCAGTCATTCCATAACTCCATGATCCCATGATCCTCAGATGTCAACCCTGATGTTCTTGGAGACCTTTCCCAACCTGAGTAATTCCATAATTCCACGATTTGATTCCACAATTCCATGACCCCATGATCCCATAATTCCATGATTCTCAAACCTGGAGCCTGATGTTCTTGGAGACCTTTCCCAATCTCAGCCATTCCATAACTCCATGATCCCGTAACTCCAAAATCCCAGGATTTTTAGAGGTCGAACTCGATGGTCTTGGAGATCTTTCTCAAGTTCAGTCATTCCACAATTCCATGGCTCTGTGATCCCATAATTCCATGATTCTCAAACCTTAAACTTGATGGTCTTGGAATCCTTTCCTGACCTGAGTAATTCCATGATTCCATGACCCCGTAACTCCAAACTCCCAGGATTTTCAGAGGTCAAACTCGATGTTCTTGCAGCTCTGTCCCAACCTGAGCCATTCTGTAAGTCCATGATCCCATCATTCCAAAATCCCAGGATTTTCAGAGGTCAAACTTGACGTTCTTGGAGACCTTTCCCAATCTCAGCCATTCCATAACTCCATGATCCCGTAACTCCAAAATCCCAGGATTTTTGGAGGTCAAACTCGATGTTCTTGGAGATCTTTCCACAACTTCAGCCATTCCACAGTTCCATTGCTCCCTGATCCCATAATTCCATGATTCTCAAACCTTGATCTTGATGGTCTTAGAGTCCTTTCTTGACCTGAGTAATTCCATGATTCCATGACCCCGTAACTCCAAAATCCCAGGATTTTCAGAGGTCAAACTCGATGTTCTTGCAGCTCTGTCCCAACCTGAGCCGTTCTGTAAGTCCATGATCCCATCATTCCAAAATCCCAGGTATTTCAGAGGTCAAACTCGATGTTCCTGGAGACCTTTCCCAACCTCAGCCATTCCATAACTCCGTGACCCCATAACTCCAAACTCCCATGATTTTCAGAGGTCGAACTCGACGTTCTTGGAGACCTTTCCCCACATTTCCCCCCTGAATCCCAACAAATCCTCACCTGTTCCTCTTCCCTCCCTCCAGCGACCTCCAGGCTCCGTTGGAAAGCCTGGAATTGGCCTTCTGCTCCCTCGTTCCCGCCGACCTCGCCTTCCTCTCCCAAAGAGTCTCTCCATGGCTCCAGAACTCTGGGATCCCAGCATTCCGTAATCCCCGTAATTCCACAATTCCATGAATTATGATCACAGATCCCATGATTCCATTCTTGGAGACCTTTCCCAACCTCAGCCATTCCATAACTCCATGATCCCATCGTTCCCATAATTCCAGGATTTTTAGAGGTCAAACCTGGTTTTCTTGGAGATCTTTCTCAAGTTCAGTCATTCCACAATTCCATTGCTCCATGATCCCATAATTCCATGATTCTCAAACCTTGACCTTGATGGTCTTGGAATCCTATCCTGACCTGAGTGATTCCATGATTCCATGACCCCGTAACTCCAAAATCCCAGGATTTTCAGAGGTCAGACTCGATGTTCTTGCAGCTCTGTCCCAACCTGAGCCGTTCTGTAAGTCCATGATCCCATCATTCCAAAATCCCAGGATTTTCAGAGGTCAAACTTGACGTTCTTGGAGACCTTTCCCCACATTTCCCCCCTGAATCCCAACAAATCCTCACCTGTCCCTCTTCCCTCCCTCCAGCGACCTCCAGGCTCCGTTGGAAAGCCTGGAATTGGCCTTCTGCTCCCTCGTTCCCGCCGACCTCGCCTTCCTCTCCCAAAGCTTCCACGCCCCGGCCCTCAAGAGGTTGGACCTGAGCGGCCACGACTTCTCCCAAGGCCTCCTGGAGCCCCTGCGGCTGCTCCTGGAGGAAACGTCGGCCTCGCTGCTGCACCTGGATCTCATGGAATGCCGCATGGCCGACTCCCACCTGGACGCGCTGCTGCCCACGCTGCGCCGCTGCTCCCGCCTGCGCTTCCTGGGACTCTACGGCAACTCCCTGTCCACGGCCGCGCTCAAGGATCTGCTCCAGAAAACCCTGGAGCTGCCCGACCTCCACCTGGTCGTGTATCCCTTCCCCGTGGATTGCTACAAGCCGGAGCCGCCGCGCCGCGTCCCGGGATCCCGGCGGATTTACGAGGAGCCCATGGATGGCGAACGTTTGGCGGCGGCCACGGCGGAGATTTCCCAGCTGCTGGCGAATTCCGGGAGGACCGACCTCGTCTGGACTTACAACCCCTACGGCCACGGAACCCTGGACTACTTCTCCTTGTGATGTGGGAAAAGCTCGGAGCCTCCGTGCTGGAAAAGCGCCGCCGCCTCCTTTTTCCGGAATCCGGGCGTTTTCCGCCCCATCCCGGCGCTTTCCCGCCTCATTCCAGTGGTTTTTTTTTCCCCCTTTTTTTCGGTGCTTTTCCATCTGTTCTCAGTATTTTTCCAGCTCATCCCGCTTTTTTTTCCTCCCCATCCCAAGCTTTTCCCTGATTTTGTAGCTTTTCTGCCACAGTTTGAGTTTTTTCCTCCTCGATAGTTTTTCCCCTCATCCCGATATTTTTCCTCCTCATCCCGGTATTTTTCCTCTCATTTCATTATTTTTCCAGCCCATCCCGGTGTTTTTCCATCAGGATTGGCTTTGCGTGGCCAAAATCCCGGGAGGCTCCGGGGCTGGATTCCACGGGACGCTTCCGGAAGCTTCTCCCGTGTCCAGCCGGTCCCGTCGGGAGCGGCGGCGACGCCTCCGGAGCAAGAATTAAGTTGGAAGAAACCAATCCGGGCACAGATGGAATTCCAGAGCGGGAATTTCGCAAAGAAACGACTCTGGAGATGATTCCACGGTGCTGGAGTGGAAATTCCCAAAAATTCCGCAGCGCGTCCGACGGGAAGCTCATCCTGGAGTTGGATCTTGGCAGGGATCTGCTGATCCGCGGGAAAAGAAGGAGCAGATTCCTGGGAGGAATCCCATGGAGGATAAAACCTTTGGAGCAGGATGTTCCCCAAGGATTGACCCCTTGGAAAAATCCATGAGGAATTGTCTTGGAGAAATCCATGGAAAACTCTTGCCGTGGGATGGATTCGCGTTGGAAAATGCATGGAAAACTTACCTGGGGATGGATTCGCGGAGAAATCCATGGAAAACTTGCAGTGGGATGGAATCACGGAGAAATCCATGGAAAACTTACCTGGGGATGGATTCACCTTGGAGAAATCCATGGAAAACTCCCATAGCCGAGAAATCCATGGAAAAGTCATTGTGGGATGGATTCATCTTGGAGAACTCCATGGAAAACTCCCATGGTTGAGAAATCCATGGAAAACTCCCATGGTTGAGAAATCCATGGAAAACTCGTTGTGGGATGGAGTCACCTTGGAGAAATCCATGGAAAACTCTCCCATAGCCGAGAAATCCATGGAAAACTCGCTGTGGGATGGATTCACCTTGGAGAAATCCATGGAAAACTCTCCCATGGTTGAGAAATCCATGGAAAACTTGCTGTGGGATGGAGTCACCTTGGAGAAATCCATGGAAAACTCTCCCATCGTCGAGAAATCCATGGAAAATTCCCATAGCCGAGAAATCCATGGAAAACTCGCTGTGGGATGGATTCATCTTGGAGAAATCCATGGAAAACTCCCATGGTTGAGAAATCCATGGAAAACTCGCTGTGGGATGGAGTCACCTTGGAGAAATCCATGGAAAACTCCCATGGTTGAGAAATCCATGGAAAACTCCCATGGTTGAGAAATCCATGGAAAACTCTCCCATAGCTGAGAAATCCATGGAAAACTCTCCCATAGCTGAGAAATCCATGGAAAACTCGTTGTGGGATGGAGTCACCTTGGAGAAATCCATGGAAAACTCTCCCATGGTTGAGAAATCCATGGAAAACTCTCCCATAGCTGAGAAATCCATGGAAAACTCGTTGTGGGATGGATTCACCTTGGAGGAATCCATGGAAAACTCCCATGGTTGAGAAATCCATGGAAAACTCGCTGTGGGATGGAGTCACCTTGGAGAAATCCATGGAAAACTCTCCCATGGTTGAGAAATCCATGGAAAATTCCCATAGTTGAGAAATCCATGGAAAACTCGCTGTGGGATGGAGTCACCTTGGAGAACTCCATGGAAAACTCTCCCATAGCTGAGAAATCCATGGAAAATTCTCCCATCGTCGAGAAATCCATGGAAAACTCGCTGTGGGATGGATTCACCATGGAGAAATCCATGGAAAACTCCCCCGGAATGGCCGGAGGGATTGAGGGAAAGCCGGGAACGAGGGAATTGGGGGAGGAGAAAGTCGGATTTGGGCTCTCGTTGTCCTGCTCTGATTCTGTTGGAAATAAACTCATCCTATCCCAGATCCCAAGTTTGTCCTTCCCAGGTGGAATTTCCTGAGGGATCTCTCCTGATCCTTATCCCACTCCAAGAATCCTCCATTATTTCCTTCACTCCCACCTCATTTTGGTGGTTTTTCACCTCATTTTGGTGGTTTTTCACCTCATTTTGGTGGTTTTTCCACCTCATTCCTGTTTTTTTTTTAACTTTACACCGGTGTTTTTCCACCTCGTTTTAGTAGGTTTGTCTCATCCCACCATTTTCCCACTTTTTCCCAGTATTTTTGCCTCATCCTGGTGGTTTTCAGCCTCATTTTTGTATTTCCCCCTCATCCCAGTGATTTCCCACCTCATTTCTCTGTTTTCTGACTCATTTTGCTGCTTTTCCACCTCATTTTGCTATTTCCCCCCTCATCCCATCATTTTCCCCCTCATTCCGGTGTTTTTCTCCTTTATTTTGATTTTTTTCCACCTAAATTTGGGGTTTTTTTTTTTACTTTATCCCAATATTTTCCCCCTTATTCTGGTCTTTTTCAACTTCTTTTTAGTATTTTGGGTCTTATTCAGTTATTTTCCACCTCATTTTGGTGTTTTTCCTCCTAATCTTGGTGTTTTGGCCCTTATCACCTCAGATTTCTACATAATTTTGGTATTTTTCCCCTCATCCCAGTGGTTTTCCACCTCATTTCTCTGTTTTCTGCCTCATTTTGCTATTTCCCCCCTCATCCCATTCTTTCCTCCCTCATTCCGGTGTTTTTCTCCTTTATTTTGATTTTTTCCACCTAAATTTGGGGAATTTTTACCTTATTCCCAGTGTTTTCCCCCTCATTCTGGTGATTTTTCAACTTCATTTTATTATTTTTGGCCTTATTTTGTTCTTTTCCCACCTCATTTTGATATTTTTCCACCTAATCTTGGTGTTTTGGGCCTTATCCCCTCACATTTCTACACAATTTAGGTATTTTTCCCCTTATCCCAGTAATTTCCCCCTCATCCCAGTGATTTCCCACCTCATTTCTCTGTTTTCTGACTCATTTTGCTGCATTTCCACCTCATTTTGCTATTTCCCCCCCATCCCATCATTTTCCCCCTCATTCCAGTGTTTTTCTCCCTTGTTTTGATTTTTTCCACCTAAATTTGGAGGTTTTTTACTTTATCCCAATATTTCTCCCCTCATTCTGGTCATTTTCAACTTCATTTTAATATTTTGGGCCTTATTCCGTTATTTTCCCACCTCATTTTGATATTTTTCCACCTCATTTTTGTGTTTTGGCCCTTATCCCCTCAGATTTTTACATAATTTTGGTAGTTTTCCCCTTATCCCAGTAATGTTTCCCTCATCCCAGTGATTTTACATCTTATTTTCATATTTTTTGCCTCAGCCCAGTGTCTTCTCATCTGATTTTGGGGGGGTTTTACCACATTCCACTGCTTATCCCCCTCTTTTTTTTTTTTTTTTTTGTTTGTTTTTCACCTAATTTTGATATTTCCCCCCTTATCCCAGTGTTTTTCCCCACATCCTGGTGTTTTCCCCCCTCAATTTTGGCATTTTCCCCCTCATTTTGTGGTATTCCCCCCCTCATTTTCCAATTTCCCCCCTCATGTTCCAATTTTCCCCTCATGCCGCTGTTTCTCCCCCCCCATCCCACGTCTTTTTCTACCTCATCCCGCTGCTTTTTACCTCAGCCCGAGATTTTTCCGCCTCATTTTCCAACTTTTTCCCTCAGCCCGGAGCTTTTCCGCCTCATTTTCCAACTTTTTCCCTCAGCCCGGAGCTTTTCCCGGCGCCTCTGGGACCCTGAGGGCCCTGAGGGCAAAATGGGGGGAAGCCGCCGCCGCCGCCGGGGGGGGGCGCATCTGTGAGGGCGCGCAGCCCTAAAGGGGCCTATGGAGGGTTTTTTATGGGGTCGCTGAGGCTTTTTATGGCTCTGAGCCCCTATAGAGAAGCTCTGAGGGGTCTCTAGAGGGATTCTATAGGATCTGGAGATCTATAGGCTCCCCTATAACCGCGGGACCCCCCCCCCCCGGCCCTTCTCCTTCGATTTCCGCTTTCCCCCCGGAACCTTTTCACTGCCGCACCACCCGCGGTGCTCACACATTGCGGTCCCCCCAGACGGCCACTTCCGGGTGGCGCCGGTTGCGCGGCCGTCGCTGTCGCCTGTCGCGATAGGGAGGTGGCCCGGCCCTGTCGGGGGTCGGCGCTCGCTGTCGCGATGAGGGTGGGGGCGGTGCTGCGGCTCTGCTCGCGCCCGGGGCTCCCGTACCAGCAGGGACAGCGGCCGGAGCCTGGAATCCGCGAGTATTTTTATTACGTAGATCACCAAGGACAGGTGAGGGGAACTGATAAGGGATCGATAAGGGATCGATAAGGATTGGGGGGTCCGGAGGGGGTTCTGGGCAATGGATCCCGCCTGGATTCTGGGCAGATCCCGCAAAAATCCCAGGGTGGATCCCACAGAAATCCCGGGAGGATCCTGATCAGATCCCAAAATAATTCCAGATTAAACCCAGATTAAACCTCGATTAAACTCGAATTAAACCCAGATAAATCCCAAACAAATCCCAACTGGATCCTGGCCAGATCCCAGCCAAATCTCACTCAGATTCCAAAGGAATCCCAAAAAAAACCTTTCCATGGACTCGGAGCAGATCCAAAAAAAATCCCAAAAATCCCAGGGCAAATCCCAGCTGGATCCCCCTAAAAAGATCCCAAAAGGATCCTGGACAGATCCCAAACCCATTCCAGAGAAAAATCCCGAGGTTTTTGGGGGAAAACTCCACCTTTTTGAGGCTTTTTTCCTGCTTTTTCTGCAGCTTTTCCTGGATGACACCAAAGTCAAGAACTTCATCACCTGCTTCAAAGGTACCGCCCTAATTAACCTGATTAATTATTCCCCTTGTTAATTTGGAGCTGAATGTTAATTAGGATTTGGTTATTAATTGGGATTTCAGCCTTCATTAGGATTTAATCCTTCAAAAAAGGCAAAAAACCGTCCAAAACACCCAAAAACCTGCCAAAACCCACAAAAAATCCTCCAAAAAACCCTACTCAACCACTATAAAAAACTACCTGAAAAACGTCAAATAACACCAAAAAAACCCCAAAACCCATCACAAGAATGACCAGAAACACCCCCAAAACCCACAGAGAACACCCCAAAAACGCCAAAAAAATTCTCCATGAAAACCCAAAGAAAACCCATCCAAGAGCCGTTAAAAAAACCGCCAAAATCCGCCAAAACAACCGATCCTCACCCAAAAAAACCCCATTAACCCACCCCAAAACTCCCAGCTCTGATTTCCCCCAAATTTCCCCCCTCTCTCTCCCAGACGTTGGATTCCTTTCCTTCTTTTTCCGGCACCTGGAGCGGAACCGCTGCGGCCGTTACCGGGAGCGTTTCCCCTTCGTGTCGCGCTGCGGCCGCGAGCGCAATTTCCTGCGCTGCGCCGACGTCCCCGTGGTTTTCACCCAGATCCTGCCCGGGCCCGGCGGGAGTTCCCTGCTCTCCTACGGCGGCGCCGGGCCCGAGCTGACGGTGCCGTTCCAGCCGGGGATGCTGGCGGTGTGCCCGCGGAACGGGCGCCTCTACCACCCCGCGCCGCGCAGCGCCGGCGCCGTGGGGTTGGTGCGCTGGGCCCTGGCGCAGGAGCTGAGCCCGGGGTTTCGCTGCCGCGCCGGGCCCCAGCAGCCCCCGACGCATTTTGTTTGGCAAGGGAAGGAGCATCGGCTCCGCGGGGAGATTTTGGGAATCCTGCGGGAGGAAAGAGCGGCAGAGGAGGCGGGAGCGGCGATGGCGGCGCCGTGAAGGGCCCGGAACGGGAATAAACGTGTGCCCATGCTCATGGAATGCACTGGGTGCAGCATGGAGGATGTGGGGTGGGATGGAAAGAACCACCAAGAAAGGCCCAAAATACCCCAAAAAAACTCCCAAAAAACCACCAAGAAAGTCCCAAAAACCCCCCGAAAAACACCACAAAAACCCCCAAAAAACGCCAAAAAAATCACAAAAAACACCAAAAAAACCACCAAGAAAGCCCCAAAAAAACTCCAAAAAAACCCCCCCAAAAAACCCGAAAAACACACCAAAAAAAACCCAAAAACCATCAAGAAAGCCCCCAAGAAACCCCCAAAAAAGCACCAAAAAAACCCCAAAAAACCACCAAGAAAGCCCCAAAATAACCCAAAAAAATCACCAAAAAAACCCCAAAAAACCCTAAAAAATCCCCCAGAAAACCACCAAGAAAGCCCCAAAAACCCCTGAAAAACACCAAAAAAAACCCCTAAAACCACCAAGAAAGCCCCAAAAAAACTCCCAAAAAAACACTAAGAAAACCCCAAAAAACCAAAAAATCACCAAAAAAAACCCCAAAACCCCCCAAAAAAAACCCCAAAAAATCACCAAAAAACCCCCAAAAAATCACCAAAAAACCCCCCAAAAACACCAAAAAAACCCCCAAAAAAACCACTGAGAAAGCCCCAAAATACCCCAAAAAATCACCAAAAAAACCCCATAAAACCACCAAGAAACCCCCCCAAAAACCCCCAAGAAATCCCCAAAAACCCCCAAAAACCCCCAAAATCCCCAGGCCCAGCAGCCCCCGCGGGGCCGGCGCCGTGGGGTTGGTGCGCTGGGCCCTGGCGCAGGAGCTGAGCCCGGGGTTTCGCTGCCGCGCCGGGCCCCAGCAGCCCCCGACGCATTTTGTTTGGCAAGGGAAGGAGCATCGGCTCCGCGGGGAGATTCTGGGAATCCTGCGGGAGGAAAGAGCGGCAGAGGAGGCGGGAGCGGCGATGGCGGCGCCGTGAAGGGCCCGGAACGGGAATAAAGGCGTGCCTGGAATGCACTGGGGGCAGCATGGAGGATGTGGGGTGGGATGGAAAGAACCACCAAGAAAGCCCCAAAAAAACCCCCAAAATCACCCAAAAAACTCCCAAAAAACCACCAAGAAAGCCCCCAAAAAAACCCCCAAAAACACCCCCAAAATCACGAAGACAGCCCCAAAAAACCACCAAGAAAGTCCCCAAAAAAACACCCAAAAAACCACCAAGAAAACCCCAAAAAACCCCAAAGAATCACCAAAAAAACCCCAAAAAACCACCAAGAAAACCCCAAAAAACCCCAAAGAATCACCAAAACACCCCCAAAAAACCACTTAGAAAGCCCCCAAAATCACCAAAAAACCCCCAAAAAACCACCAAGAAAGCTCCAAAAAAACCCCCAAAAAGCCCTAAAAAAAACCAAAAAATCCCCAAAAAAACCCCAAAAAAGCACCAAGAAAGCCCCAAAAACCCCCAAAACCACCAAAACAACCCCCCAAAAACCTACCAAGAAAGCCCCAAAACCCCCAAAAAAGCACCAAAAAAACTCCAAAAAACACCAAGAAAGTCCCGAAAAACCCCGAAAAATAAAAAAAAAAAAACGCCAAAAACCACCAAGAAAGCCCCCAAAAAACTCCCAAAAACCCCCAAAAACACCAAAAACCCCCCCAAAAACCTACCAAGAAAGACCCCAAAACCCCCAAAAAAGCACCAAAAAAACTCCCAAAAAACTACCAAGAAAGCCCCAAAAACCCCCGAAAAACACCAAAGAAACCGCAAAAAAAGCCAAAAAAATCACCAAAAAACCCCCCAAAAATCCACCAAGAAAACCCCAAAAAAAACCAAAAATCACCAAAAAAATCCCCAAAAAATCACCAAAAAAAACCCCAAAAAACCCCCCAAAAAAACCCCGAAAAACACAAAAAAATCCCCCAAAAACCATCAAGAAAGCCCCCCAAAAACCCCAAAAAATCACCAAAAAAAACCCTGAAAAAAACACCAAAAAACAACCCAAAAAACCACCAAGAAAGCCCCCAAAAAAACGACCAAAAACACCCCCAAAATCACGAAGACAGCCCCAAAAAACCACCAAGAAAGTCCCCAAAAAACCCCCAAAACACCAAAAAAACACCCAAAAAACCACCAAGAAAACCCCAAAAAACCCCAAAGAATCACCAAAAAAACCCCAAAAAACCACCAAGAAAGCCCCAAAACCCCCAAAAAACCACCAAAACACCCCCAAAAAACCACTTAGAAAGCCCCCAAAAAAACCCCCAAAACCCCCAAAAAAACCCCCAGAAAAGCACCAAGAACGCCCAAAAAAACCCCCAAAAAAACCCCAAGAAAGCTCCAAAAAAACCCCAAAAAAGCCCTAAAAAAAACAAAAAATCCCCAAAAAAGCACCAAGAAAGCCCCCAAAACCCCCCCAAAAAACACCAAAAAAAACCCCAAAAACCACCAAAAAAATCAGCAAAAAAACTCCCAAAAAAACACCAAGAAAACCCCAAAAAACCACCAAGAAAGACCCCAAAACCCCACAAAAACACCAAAAAAACCCCCCAAAAACCTACCAAGAAAGCCCCAAAAAACCCCCCAAAAAATCACCAAAAAAACCCCTAAAAGTGACTGAGAAAGCCCCAAAAACCCCAAAAAACACCAAAAAGACCCCTCAAAAAACCACTGAGAAAGCCCCCAAAAAACCGAAAAAAACCACCCACAAAGCCCCAAAAAAACCCCAGAAAATCACCAAAAAACCCCAAAAACATCAAAAAAAACCCTCAAAAGATGACCAAGAAAACCCCAAAAAACCCCCCAAAAAAACACCACGAAAGCCCAAAAAAACACCAAAAAAACCACCAAGAAAGCCCCAAAGAATGAACAAAAAAAAACCAAAAAACCACCAAGAAAGCCCAAAAAAACCACTTAAAAGCCCCCCAAAAACACCCCAAAATCACCAAAAAACCCCCAAAAAAACCTCTAAAAACCACCAAGAAAGCCCCAAAATAACCCAAAAAAATCACCAAAAAACCCCCAAAAACCACCAAGAAAGCCCCAAAAAAACACTTAGAAAGCCCCCAAAAAACACCCCAAAATCACCAAAAAACCCCCAAAAAAGCACCAAGAAAGCCCAAAAAAACCCCAGAAAATCACCAAAAAACCCCAAAAACACCAAAAAAAAAACCCAAAAGATGACTGACAAAGCCCCAAAAAACCCTCAAAAAAACACCAAAAAAAACACCAAAAAATACCCAAAAAAACCTACCAAGAAAGCCCCCAAAACCCCCAAAAAATCAGCAAAAAAACCTCAAAAAACCACAAAGATCCAAAAAACACCAAAAATAACCCAAAAAAAGACCAAAAAAACCCCAAAAAAGCACCAAGAAAGCCCAAAAAAAACCCACCAAAAAAGCCTCAAAATACCCCAAAAATCACCAAAAAAACCCCGAAAAACACCAAAAAAACCCCAAAAAAAACCCCAAAAAACCACCAAGGAAGCCCCCAAAAAACCCCAAAATCACCAAAAACCCCTAAAAAACGACCAAAACTGCGAGGGAACCATCGTGGAGGGTGGGGTTGGGATGGAGGGAAGGAATTTCGGGAAGGGTTTCCCTGTCCCAGTTCTGCTCCTTTGCTGGAGGCCGGAAAATTCCCGGAAAATCCCAAAAAAATCAATCCTACTTTAAATCCTGCAGTTGGGGTTTGGGATGAAGGGGTTGGGGATTTGGGATGGGGATTTGGGATTTGGGATGAGGGATTTGGGAACTTTGGATCAAGGATTTGGGGATTTGGGATGAAGGATGGGGATTTGGGATGAAGGATTTGGGGATTTGGGAATGAAGGATTTGGGGATTTGGGGATTTGGGGATTTGGGATGAAGGATTTGGGATTTGGGGTTTGGGACGAAGAGTTTGGGGTTTTCAGATTAAGGATTTGGGATAAAGGATTTGGGAATTTGGGATGAGGGATTTGGGATGAAGGATTTGGGTTTGGGATGGGGATTTGGGGATTTGGGATGAGGGATTTGGGGATTTCGGATCAAGGATTTGGGATCAAGGATTTGGGGGTTTGGGATGAAGGATTTGGAGATTTGGGGATCTGGGATGGAGGAATTGGGGCTTGGGAATTTGGAATTTGGGATGAAGGATTTGGGGATTTGGGATGAAGGATTTGGGGTTTGGAACAAAGAGTTTGGGGTTTGGGATGAAGGATTTGGGGTGAAGGATTTGGGATTTGGGATGAAAGATTTGGGGATTTGGGAATTTAGGATGGGAGATTTGAGATTAAGGTTTTGGGGATTTGGGATGAAGGATTTGGGGATTTGGGGATTTGGGATCGAGGATTTGATGATTTGGGATGGAGGAATTGGGGCTTGGGAATTTGGAATTTGAGATGATGGATTTGGGGATTTGGGATGAGGGATTTGGGGATTTGGGATGAAGGATTTGGGATGAAGGATTTGGGGATTTGGGATGAGGGATTTGGGGTTTGGGATGAAGGATTTGGGCTGAAGGGTTTGGGGGAATTGGGATGAAGGATTTGGGAACTTTGGATCGAGGATTTGGGAATTTGGGATGAGGGATTTTGGGGATTTGGGATGGGGGATTTGGGAATTTAGGATGGGAGATTTGAGATCAAGGATTTGGGGATTTGGGATGAAGGATTTGGGAACTTTGGGATGAAGGATTTTGGATTTTGGGGTGAAGGATTCGGGGGATTTGGGATGAACGATTTGGGAACTTTGGACCAAGGATTTGGGGAGTTTGGATCAAAGATTTGGGGATTTGGGATGAAGGGTTTGGGGCTTGGGATGAAGAATTTGGGATGAAGGATTTGTGGATTTGGGGATCTGGGATGGAGGAATTGGGGCTGAGGAATTTGGAATTTGAGATGAATTTGGGGATTTCGGATGAGGGATTTGGGATGAAAGATTTGGGATGAAGGATTTGGAGATTTGGAATGAAGGATTTGGGATGAAGGGTTTGGGGTTTGGGATGAAGGGTTTGGGGCATTTGGGGTTTGGGATTGAGGATTTGATGATTTGGGATGAAGGAATTGGGGCTTGGGAATTTGGAATTTGGGATGAAGGATTTGGGGATTTGGGATGAAGGATTTGGGGAATTTGGGATGAAGGATTTGGGGATAAAGGATTTGGGGTTTGGGATGAAGGATTTGGGATGAAGGATTTGGGGATTTTGGATGAAGGATTTGGGGAATTTGGGATGAAGGATTTGGGGATAAAGGATTTGGGGTTTGGGATGAAGGATTTGGGATGAAGGATTTGGGGATTTTGGATGAAGGATTTGGGATTTGGGATGAAGGATTTGGGGATTTGGGGATCTGGGATGGAGGAATTGGGGCTTGGGAATTTGGAATTTGGGATGAAGAATTTGGGATGAAGGATTTGGGATGAAGGATTTGGGGATTTGGGATGAAGAGTTTGGGGTTTGGGATGAAGGATTTGGGGTGAAGGATTTGGGATTTGGGATGAAGGATTTGGGGTGAAGGATTTAGGATGAAGGATTTGGGATTTGGGATGAAGGATTGGGAATTTGGGATGAAGGATTTGTGGATTTGGGATGGAGGATTTGATGATTTGGGATGGAGGAATTGGGGCCTGGGAATTTGGAATTTGGGATGAAGGATTTGGGGATTTGGGATGGGGGATTTGGAATGGGGGATTTCAGGATTTGGGATGAAGGATTTGGGAACTTTGGATCAAGGATTTGGGGATTTGGGATGAAGGATTTGGGAACTTTGGGATGAAGGATTTGAGGATTTGGGACGTAGGATTTGGGAGATTTGGGGTGAAGGATTTGGGGATTTGGGAATTTAGGATGAAGGGTTTGGAATGGGGTATTTGGGATGAAGGATTCAGGAATTTTGGACCAAGGATTCGGGACGATTTTGGGATTTTGGATGAAGGGTTTGGGCATTTGGAAATTTGGAATTTTAGACGAAGGATTTGGGGATTTGGGGTGAAGGATTTGGGGATTTTTGGGATGGCGGGTTTGGGGATTTGGGTTGAAGGAGTTGGGGATTTGGGATGGTGAATTTGTGATAAAGGATTTGAGGATTTGGGATGAAGGATTTGGGGATTTGGGAATTTGGGTTGAAGGATTTGGGAACTTTGGGATGGGGAATTTGGAAAGAAGGGTTTGAGGATTTGGGATGAAGGATTTGGGATGAAAGATTTGGGATGAAGGATTGGGGATTTGGGATGAAGGATTTGGGATGAAGGATTTGGGGTTTGGGATGAAGGATTTGGGGATTTGGGATGAAGGATTTGGGATGAAGGATTTGGGGTTTGGGATGAAGGATTTGGGAACTTTGGATCAAGGATTTGGGGTTTGGGATGACGGATTTGGGGATTTGGGATCAAGGATTTGATGATTTGGGATGGAGGAATTGGGGCTTGGGAATTTGGAATTTCAGATGAAGGATTTGGGGATTTGGGATGAAGGATTTGGGATGAAGGCTTGGGGGATTTGGGATGAAGGATTTGGGATTTGGGGACTTGGGACCAAGGGCTTGGAGTTTTTCAGATTAAAGATTTGGGATAAAGGATTTGGGAATTTGGGAGGAAGAGTTTGGGAACTTTGGATCGAGGATTTGGGGATTTGGGATGAAGGGTTTGGGGGAATTGGGATGAAGGATTTGGGAACTTTGGATCAAGATTTGGGGATTTGGGATGAAGAGTTTGGGGATTTGGGATGGGGGATTTGGGAATTTAGGATGGGAGATTTGAGATTAGGGATTTGGGGATTTGGGATGAAGGATTTGGGAACTTTGGGATGAAGGATTTGGGAAATTGGGAGGAAGAGTTTGGGAACTTTGGACCAAGGATTTGGGGATTTGGAATGAAGGGTTTGGGGATTTGGGATGAAGGATTTGGGGTGAAGGATTTGGGAACTTTGGATCGAGGATTTGGGGATTTGGGATGAAGGCTTGGGGGATTTGGGTGGTGGCAGCTAATTAATCAATAACTAATTACTGATAAATAATTAATGAACATTTATTTCATACTTAAATAACGTCCCATAGGAATAAATGGGAATTCAAGGCCTTTTCCCCTCCGGACGCGGCAACAAACATTCCAGGAAAAACTTTGGGATTGGGGTGGGAAAAACATCAAAACTGGATGGAAAAATCCTAACACAAACCACAAAACATCAGGATGAGCTGGAAAAATACAAAAACCAGGCGGAAAAGCACCGAAATAAAGTGGAAAAAAACCATCGGGGATGAGGCGGGAAAGGCGCGGATTTTGGGATGAAGGGTTTGGAATTCGGGCGGAGCCGCTTTTCCAGCACGGAGGCTCCGAGCTTTTCCCACATCACAAGGAGAAGAAGTCCAGGGCTCCGTGGCCGTAGGGGTTGGAAGTCCAGACCAGGTCGGCCCTCCCGGAATTCGCCAGCATCCGGCAAAACTCGGCGTCGGCCGCCGCCAGAAGCTCCTCGTCCACCGGCTCCTCCAAATTCCAATCGGATTCCGGCGGCTCCGGCGGCTCCGGCTTGTAGCAATCCACGGGGAAGGGATACACGACCAGGTGGAGGTCGGGCAGCTCCAGGGTTTTCTGGAGCAGATCCTTGAGCGCGGCCGTGGACAGGGAGTTGCCGTAGAGTCCCAGGAAGCGCAGGCGGGAGCAGCGGCGCAGCGTGGGCAGCAGCGCGTCCAGGTGGGAGTCGGCCATGCGGCATTCCATGAGATCCAGGTGCAGCAGCGAGGCCGAGGTTTCCTCCAGGAGCAGCCGCAGGGGCTCCAGGAGGCCTTGGGAGAAGTCGTGGCCGCTCAGGTCCAACCTCTTGAGGGCCGGGGCGTGGAAGCTTTGGGAGAGGAAGGCGAGGTCGGCGGGAACGAGGGAGCAGAAGGCCAATTCCAGGCTTTCCAACGGAGCCTGGAGGTCGCTGGAGGGAGGGAAGAGGGACAGGTGAGGATTTGTTGGGATTCAGGGGGGAAATGTGGGGAAAGGTCTCCAAGAACGTCGAGTTCGACCTCTAAAAATCCTGGGATTTTGGAGTTACGGGATCATGGAGTTATGGAATGGCTGAGGTTGGGAAAGGTCTCCAGGAACATCGAGTTTGACCTCCAAAAATCCTGGGATTTTGGAGTTACGGGGTCATGGAGTTATGGAATGGCTGAGGTTGGGAAAGGTCTCCAAGAACGTCAAGTTTGACCTCTGAAATACCTGGGATTTTGGAATGATGGGATCATAGACTTACAGAACGGCTCAGGTTGGGACAGAGCTGCAAGAACATCGAATCTGACCTCTGAAAACCCTGGGAGTTTGGAGTTATGGGGTCATGGAATCATGGAATTACTCAGGTCAGGAAAGGATTCCAAGACCATCAAGATCAAGGTTTCAAAATCATGGAATTATGGGATCATGGAGCAATGGAACTGTGGAATGGCTGAAGTTGTGGAAAGATCTCCAAGAACATTGAGTTTGACCTCTGAAAATCCTGGAATTATGGGAACGATGGGATCATGGAGTTATGGAATGGCTGAGGTTGGGAAAGGTCTCCAAGAACATCAAGGTCAAGGTTTGAGAATCTTGGAATTATGGGATCATGGGGTCATGGAATTGTGGAATCAAATAATGGAATTATGGAATTAGTCAGGTTGGGAAAGGTCTCCAACACCATCAAGGTTGACACCTGAGGATCATGGGATCATGGAGTTATGGAATTATGGATCCATGAAATTGTGGGGTCAGGCATTTGCGTGGTCATGGAATCGTGGAGTTATGGAATGACTGAGGTTGGGGAAAAGCTCCAAGGACCATCAACTTCAAGCTTTGAAATTCATGGAATGATGGAATGATGGGATCACGGAGTTCTGGGATCATGGGATCTGTGATCATAATTCATGGAATTGTGGAATGTGGGATTATGGAATGCTGGGATCCCAGAGTTCTGGAGCCATGGAGAGACTCCTTGGGAGAGGAAGGCGAGGTCGGCGGGAACGAGGGAGCAGAAGGCCAATTCCAGGCTTTCCAACGGAGCCTGGAGGTCGCTGGAGGGAGGGAAGAGGGACAGGTGAGGATTTGTTGGGATTCAGGGAGGAAATGTGGGGAAAGGTCTCCAAGAACGTCGAGTTCGACCTCTGAAAATCCTGGGATTTTGGAGTTACGGGGTCATGGAGTTATGGAATGGCTGAGGTTGGGAAAGGTCTCCAGGAACATCGAGTTTGACCTCTGAAAACCCTGGGATTTGGGAACGATTGGATCATGGAATCATGGAATTACTCCGGTTGGAAAAGATCTCCAAGACCATCAAGGTCAAGGTTTCAAAATCATGGAATTATGGGATCATGGAGCAATGGAACTGTGGAATGGCTGAAGTTGTGGAAAGATCCCCAAGACCATTGAGTCTGACCTCTGAAATCCTGGGATCTTGGAATGATGAGATCATGGAGTTATGGAATGGCTGAGGTTGGGAAAGGTCTCCAAGAACATCAAGGTCAAGGATTGAAACTCATGGAATTATGGGATCATGGGGTCATGGAATTGTGGAATAAAATCATGAAATTATGGAATGGCTGAGGTTGGGACAGAGCTCCAAGAACATCGAGTCTGACCTCTGAAAATCCTGGGAGTTTGGAGTTACGGGGTCATGGAATCATGGAATTACTCTGGTTGGGAAAGGTCTCCAAGACCATCAAGGTCAAGGTTTCAAAATCATGGAATTATGGGATCATGGAGCAATGGAATTGTGGAATGGCTGAAGTTGTGGAAAGATCTCCAAGAACATTGAGTTTGACCTCTGAAAATCCTGGAATTATGGGAATGATGGGATCATGGAGTTATGGAATGGCTGAGGTTGGGAAAGGTCTCCAAGAACATCAGGCTCCAGGTTTGAGAATCATGGAATTATGGGATCATGGGGTCATGGAATTGTGGAATCAAATCGTGGAATTATGGAATGACTCAGGTTGGGAAAGGTCTCCGACACCATCAGGGTTGACACCTGAGGATCATGGGATCATGGAGTTATGGAATTATGGATCCATAAGATTATGGGGTCAGGCATTTGCATGTTCATGGAATCGTGGAGTTATGGAATGGCTGAGGTTGGGGAAAAGCTCCAGGACCATCAACTTCAGGCTTAGAAAATCATGAAATTACGGAATTGTGGGATCATGGAGTTCTGGCATCATGGGATCTGTGATCATAATTCATGGGATTGTGGAATGTGGGATTACGGAATGCTGGGATCCCAGAGTTCTGGGGCCATGGAGAGACTCTTTGGGAGAGGAAGGCGAGGTCGGCGGGAACGAGGGAGCAGAAGGCCAATTCCAGGCTTTCCAACGGAGCCTGGAGGTCGCTGGAGGGAGGGAAGAGGGACAGGTGAGGATTTGTTGGGATTCAGGGAGGAAATGTGGGGAAAGGTCTCCAAGAACGTCGAGTTCGACCTCTGAAAATCCTGGGATTTTGGAATGATGGGATCATGGAGTTATGGAATGGCTGAGGTTGGGAAAGGTCTCCAGGAACATCGAGTTCGACCTCTAAAAATCCTGGGATTTTGGAATGATGGGATCATAGACTTACAGAACGGCTCAGGTTGGGACAGAGCTGCAAGAACATCGAGTTTGACCTCTGAAAATCCTGGGAGTTTGGAGTTATGGGGTCATGGAATCATGGAATGACTCAGGTTGGGAAAGGTCTCCAACACCATCAGGATTGACATTTGAGGATTGTGGGATCATGGAGTTATGGAATTGTGGAATCCAATCATGAAATTATGGAGTGGCTGAGGTTGGGACAGAGCTCCAAGAACATCGAGTTCGACCTCCAAAAATCCTGGGATTTTGGAGTTATAGGGTCATGGAATCATGGAATTACTCAAATCACCAAAAGTCTCCAAGACCATCAAGTTCAAGGTTTGAGAATCATGGAATTATGGGATCACAGAGCCATGGAATTGTGGAATGGCTGAAGTTGGGAAAGATCTCCAAGAACGTTGAGTTCGACCTCTGAAAATCCTGGGATTTTGGAGTTATGGGATCACAGAGTTATGGAATGGCTGAGGCTGGGACAGAGCTCCAAGAACATCGAGTTTGACCTCTGAAAATCCTGGGATTTGGGAACGATTGGATCATGGAATCATGGAATTACTCCGGTTGGAAAAGATCTCCAAGACCATCAAGTTCAAGGTTTCAAAATCATGGAATTATGGGAGCATGGAGCAATGGAACTGTGGAATGGCTGAAGTTGTGGAAAGATCTCCAAGACCATCAAGTCTGACCTCTAAAAAATCCTGGGATCTTGGAATGATGGGATCATGGAGTTATGGAATGGCTGAGGCTGGGAAAGGTCTCCAAGAACATCAAGGTCAAGGATTGAAACTCATGGAATTATGGGATCATGGGGTCATGGAATTGTGGAATCCATTTGTGCAATTATGGAATGACCGTGCTTGGGAAAGGTCTGCAAGAACATCGAGTTTGACCTCTGAAAATCCTGGGAGTTTGGAGTTATGGGGTCATGGAATCATGGAATTACTCAGGTTGGGAAAGGACTCCAAGACCATCAAGGTCAAGGTTTGAGAATCATGGAATTATGGGATCATGGAACAATGGAATTGTGGAATGACTGAACTTAAGAAAGGTCTCCAAGACCATCGAGTTTGACCTCTAAAAATCCTGGGATCTTGGAATGATGGGATCATGGAGTTATGGAATGGCTGAAGTTGGGAAAGGTCTCCAAGAACATCAAGCTCCAGGTTTGAGAATCATGGAATTATGGGATCATGGGGTCATGGAATTGTGGAATCAAATAATGGAATTATGGAATGGCTGAGGTTGGGAAAGGTCTCCAACACCATCAGGGTTGACACCTGAGGATCATGGGATCATGGAGTTATGGAATTATGGATCCATAAGATTATGGGGTCAGGCATTTGCGTGGTCATGGAATCGTGGAGTTATGGAATGGCTGAGGTTGGGGAAAAGCTCCAGGACCATCAACTTCAAGCTTTGAAATTCATGGAATCACGGAATTGTGGGATCATGGAGTTATGGAATGGCTGAGGTTGGGAAAGCTCTTCAAGAACATCAAGCTCCAGGTTTGAGAATAATGGAATTATGGGATCATGGGGTCATGGAATTGTGGAATCAAATCATGGAATTATGGAATGCCTCAGGGTGGGAAAGGTCTCCAAGAACATCAGGGTTGACACCTGAGGATCATGGGATCATGGACTTATGGAATTGTGGAATCCAATCATGAAATTATGGAATGGCTGAGGTTGGCCAAGCTCTCCAAGACCATCAAGTTGAAGGATTGAAAGTCATGGAATTGTGGAATCAAATTGTGGAATTATGGAATGGCTGCGGTTGGGAAAGATCTCCAAGAACATCAAGTCTGATATTAGAGGGACATCAAATTATGGGATCAAGGAATCATGGAATTATGGAATGACTGAGGTTGGGAAAGGTCTCCAGGAACATCAGGTTTGACCCCTGAGAATCCTGGGATTATGGGATCATGGAGCCAAGGAATTGTGGTAGTGAAACAATGGGATCATGGAGTCGTGGAATTCTGGAATTATGGAATTATGGGAGCATGGAGCCAAGGAATTGTGGTAGTGAAACAAGGGGATCACGGAGTCGTGGAATTCTGGAGTTATGGAATTCTGGGATCGTGGAGTTACGAAGCCATGGAGCCATTGACGTTGGAAAAGGCTCCAGGATCACCAAGTCCAACCTTTAGGAATCCTGGAATCAAGGAATTGTGGGATCATGGAGTCATGGACTATTGGGATAATGGGATCATGGGAACCTGGGATCATGAAGGTTGGAAAAGATCTCCAAGACCATCGAGCCCAAACCTTGGGAATCGTGGACCAAGGAATTATGGGATCATGAAATTATGGGATGACGGAATCATTGAGCCATGAGCTATGGAGACAATGGAATCATGGGAACAATGAGATGATGAATTCCTGGAATCGTGGGATCATTGAGATTGGAGAAGACCTCCAAGACCATCAAGCCCAACCTTTGGGAATCTTGAAATTAAGGAATTATGGGATCTTGGAATTATGGGATGATGGAATCATTGAGTCATGAACTGTTAGGGACAACGGGACATGGGAATCACGGAAACATTGGGATAATGAAATCCCAGAGTCATGGGATCACTCAGGTTGGGAAAGGCCATTGAGCCCAACCTTTGAGACTCCTGGAATTCTGGGATCATGGAATTATGGGATCATGGAATTGCTGAGTCATAAACCATTGGGATAACAGAACCATGGGACCTTGTGAATGTTGGGATAATGGAATCCTGGAATCTTGGGGCTCAGATTGGAGAAGACTTCCAAGATCGTCAAGTTCAGCCTCTGAGAATCCTGGGATCATGGAATTTATGGGATCATGGAATTTATGGGATCATGGAATCACTGAGTCATGAATTATTGGGATAACACAATCATGGGAACATGGGAACATTGGGATGATGAAACCACGGAATCAAGAGATCATTAAGATTGGAGAAGACCTCCAAGACCATCGAGACCAACCTTTGGGAATCCTGGATCCAAGGAATTCTGGGATCTTGGAATGATGGGACAATGGAATCACTGAGTCACGAACAATCGGGATAAGGGAATCATGGGAACATTGGGATAATGAAATCCCGGAACCACGGGATCACTCAGGCTGGGAAGGACATCCAAGACCATCGAGCCTGACCTCTGAGACCCCTGGAATTGTGGGATCGTGGAATTATGGGATGATGGAATCGTTGAGTCATAAAATCTCAGGATAACAGAATATTGGGACAGTAACATCTTGGAATCACGGGGTCACTAAGATTGGAGAAGACTTCCAAGATCGCCAAGTTCAGCCTTTGGGAATCCTGGGATCTTGGAATGATGGGATCATGGAATCACTGAGCCATGAGCTATTGAGACCATGGAATCATGGGAACAATGAGATGATGAATTCCGGGAATCGTGCGATCGTTAAGGTTGGAGAAGACCTCCAAGACCATCAAACCCAAACTTTGGGAATCTTGAAATTAAGGAATTGTGGGATCTTGAATTTATGGGATGATGGAATCATTGAGTCATAAGATATTGGGCTGAGGGGATCATGGGAATGTTGGGATAATGAAATCCTGGAATCATGGAGTCACTAAGATTGGAGAAGACCTCCAAGATTGCCAAGTTCAGCCTTGGAGAATCCTGGGATCTTGGAATGATGGGATCATGGAATCACTGAGCCATGAGCTATTGGGACAATGGAATCATGGGAACAATGAGATGATGAAGTCCTGAAATCATGGGATCGTTCAGGCTGGAAAAGATGCTCAAGACCATCAAGCTCAACCTTTGGGAATCTTGAAATTAAGGAATTGTGGGATCTTGGAATTATGGGATAATGGAATCGTTGAGTCATAAAATATTGGGCTGATGGGGTTGTGGGAATGTTGGGATAATGAAATCCTGGAATCATGGAGTCACTAAGACTGGAGAAGACCTCCAAGATCGCAAAGTTCAGCCTTGGAGAATCCTGGAATCACTGAATTTTGGGATCATGGAATGATGGGACCATGGAATCACTGAGTCATGAACTATTGGGATAAGGGAATCATGGGAACATGGGGATAACGGAATCCTGGAGCCACGGGATCACTCAGGCTGGGAAAGACCCCCGGGACCCCCAACCCTTGGGAATGCCCCGGGAGCGCGGGAAGGGCCCGGCCAGGCCCCGCTGCGCCGGGAGCTCACCAGAGGATCTGGCGCAGGTTCCCGGAGAGCCGGGAGGATCCCAGGTTGAGCTCGCGGAGGCTGGGCAGCATTCCCAGCTGCCCGGCCAGGCAGCGGATCCCGATGGCCGATTCCGGCGTGGGGCGCCGCACGTCCACGTTGCTGTACTGGAGCTTGAGGCTGCGCAGCTCCGGGAAGCGCGAGAGGTGCGGCAGGATCACCGAGAGCCCGGTCAATCCCAAGTTGTTGAATCTCAGATCCACCCTCCGCAGGAAGGACGGGTCCAAGGATTCCAACAAAGCCACGATCCCGGACGCCGAGAGCTCCTCGGCTTGGAGCTCGCGGCACTTGAGGCGCAGCGGGCCGGCGGCTCCGGTCTGGAGCGCGTCGCGCAGGATCCCGTAGGACGTTCCGTTGACGAACAGGTCGGCGTGCACGTCCACGCCCGGGGGCTGCGGAGCGGCCGCGGCCGTGGCGGCTCCGGAGCGGCCTTTGTGCCGCTTGGATCCGCGCCGCTGGAATTCCCGCTGGTGCTTGGACACCTCCACGCAAGCCTTGGCCAAAGCCACCGTGCCCGACCAGACGCTCATCCCGTCCGGAGCGCGGCCGGGTGCTGAGCCGGGGAGGCCGGTGATGTCCAGAACGCGTAGGCTGGAAAATTTGGGAAGGAGGCATCAAAATGGGAGGGAACGTCAAAAACGGGAGGAAAGAAACCATTAAAAATGGAAAAGAAATGGAAAAAAAAGAAACCAAGAAAAATGGAAACCATCAAAAATGCTCAGAAACCATCAAAAATAAAAGGAAACCATTAAAAACGGGAAGGAACCATCAGAAACAGGAAGGAACCATCAGAAACAAAAAAAAACCATCAAAAATGTGCAGAAACCATTAAAAACGGGAAGGAACCATCAGAAACAAGAAGGAACCATCAAAAACAAAAACCATGAAAAACTGGTGGAAACCATCAAAACCAGGATGGAACCATCAAGGAAGGAACCATCTAAAGTGGCAAGAAACCATCAAAAATGGGAGGAAACCATCAAAAATGGGAAGGAACCATCAAAAACAGGATGGGACTGTCAAGGAAAGAACCATTTAAAGTGGCAAGGAACCATCAAAAATGGGCAGAAACCATCAAAACCAAAAAGAAACCATGAAAAACTGGAGGAAACCATCAAAAATGGGAGGAAACCATCAAAAACGGCACAAAACAATCAAAAAAAGGAGGAACCCATCCAAAATGGGAAGGAAAGCATCAAAAATGGGACTGAAGCATCAAAAACGCGGAGGAACTCTCCAAAATGGGAGGAAACCGTGAAAAATGGGAGGAATCATCAAAAATGGGAAGGAACCATCAAAAATGGGAAGGAATTATCAAAACCAGGAAAAAAACATCAAAAACAAGAAGGAAACCATCCAAAACAAAAGGAAACCATGAAAAACTGGAGGGAGAAAGAAGCCATCAAAAACGGGATGGAACTGTTAAGGAACCATCTAAAGCGGCAAGAAGGCATCAAAAATGGGCAGGAACCGTCAAAAATGGGCAGGAACCATCAAAACCAAGGAGAAACCATCAAAAATGGGAAGGAACCGTCAAGGTAGGAGTCGTCTAAAATGGCAAAAAACCATCAAAAATGGGAGGAAACCATCAAAAATGTCAAGGAACTATCAAAAATGGCAAGGAACTATCAAAAACTGGAAGGAACTATCAAAAATGGGAAGAAACCATCAAAAACTGGAAGGAACCATCAACAACAGGAGGGAACCATCAAAAATGGGAAGGAACCATCAAAAACTGGAAGGAACCATCAAAAACTGGAAGGAACCATCAAAAATGGCAGGAAACCATCAAAAACGGGAGGGAGCCATCAAAAATGGGATGGGACTGTCCAGGAAGGAACCATCTAAAGTGGCAAGAAACCATCAAAAACAAAATGGGAAGGAACCATCAGAAATGGGAAAGAACCATCAAAACCAGCAAGGAACCATCAAAAACTGGAAGGAACTATCAAAAATGGCAAGAAATCATCAAAAACAAGAAGGAACCATCAAAAATGGGAAAGAACCATAAAATACGGCAAGGAACCATCAAAAACAGGAGGAAACCATCAACAACAGGAGGGAACCATCAAAAATGGCAAGAAATCATCAAAAATGGGAAGGAAACATCAAAAATGGGATGGGACTGTCCAGGAAGGAGCCATCTAAAGTGGCAAGGAACCATCAAAAATGGGATGGAACCATCAAAACCAGCAAGGAACCATCAAAAACGGGAGGGAACCATCAAAACCAAGCAGGAACCATGGAAACCCATCAGGAACCCCCCAGAGCGATGGAGGCGCCGCAGGCTCGGAGGCGCCCCCGTCCCCGCGCTGCCCAGGACCCACCTGGCGTCGTGGCCGGGCTCCTCCAGCTGCCGCCGCAGCTGCGCCACCACGGCCAGGATGACGGCCTGGACGCAGAGCTTGCAGGGATGGTCCCGCAGCAGCTCCCGGCGCCCCACCAGCCGCTGGAAGTTGAGCACCGGGAACGGCCAAGCGGCCACCAAATCCCGCAGCACCAGGGGCCTCCCGTCCAGGAACGCCGCTTGGAAGAGGACGGGATGGAGATCGGCGGGAAGGGCGGGAAGAGGGCGCTGGGCGACGACGCGGCGGGCGCAGAGGAAGAGGAGGGAATCCATCGGGGGGGCTGTGGGGATTTGGGGATCAAAGAATTACGGAGAAACCTCAAATGTGAAGTAACCCAAAGAAAAACTTGGATTTTGGGGGGCTGTGGGGATTTGGGGACCCTTTGGGTAATGGAGAAGCAGAAAATTCCAGAGAAACCCCAAATGTGAGGAGATCCCAAAGAAAAGCCGGGACAAGATGGCGGCGGTTGTGAGGGGACACCCAGCGCGTCTCTGCGGGGGCTGTGGGGTTTTGGGGATCAAAGAATTACAGAGAAACCCCAAATACGAGGATAACCCAAAGAAAAACTTGGATTTTGGGGGCCTGTGGGGATTTGGGGACCCTTTGGGTGATGGAGAAGCAGAAAATTCCAGAGAAACCCCAAATGGGAGGAGATCCCAAAGAAAAGCCGGGACAAGATGGCGGCGGTTGTGAGAGGACACCCAGCGAGTCTCTGCGGGGGCTGTGGGGATTTGGGGATCAAAGAATTACAGAGAAACCCCAAATGCGAAGTAACCCAAAGAAAAACTTGGATTTTGGAGGGCCTGTGGGGATTTGGGGACCCTTTGGGTGATGGAGAACCAGAGAATTCCAGAGAAACCCCAAATGGGAGGAGATCCCACAGAAAAGCCAGGACAAGATGGCGGTGGTTGTGAGGGGACACTCAGCACGTCTCGGGAGGGCTGTGGGGATTTGGGGATCAAAGAATTGTGGAGAAACCCCAAATGCAAAGAAAAACTTGGATTTTGGGGGCCTGTGGGGATTTGGGGACCCTTTGGGTGATGGAAAAGCAGAGAATTTTAGGGAAACCCCAAATGGGAGGAGATCCCAAAGAAAAGCCGGGACAAGATGGCGGCGGTTGTGAGGGAACCCCCAGCGCGTCCCGACTTTCCCCACCCCACACGGGATACCCCAAAATCCCACAAGGACCTCAAATTCTTCCCGGGGATCTGGAAGTTCCCACAGGTCCCCAAATTCCCCTTCCAGGGATCGGGAAATTCGCACAGGGATCCCCAAATTATCCCAAAGTCCCCTCAGGGATCCCCAAAAGCGGGGGAACCGGAGCGACCCCCCAACATGGCGCCCCCCACTCACCGCCCGCCCGCAGGCCGCGCCTGCCCCCAGCCCTTACGGAAGCTCCACTTCCGTGTTTGCTCGCAGTGGTAACCAATCAGCGAGCTAAACCCGCCTTGGAGGCTGATATCTTCCGTCTAATTGGCTCTTACAGCTGTCAGTCAATGTTTTATTAAATTCTCATTGGTTTAAATCGAAACAGGCGGGCGCTTCTAGATCCGCCTTTTTATTGGCTCACGTGGCTGTCAATCACGAATTCCTGGCTTCCCATTGGCTGGCGCTTAGCAGGAGCGAGAGGTTCGCTCTGAGACAGCTTTGGGATCCCCGCGGAGCTTCCCTCGATCTCCGAACCCAATTCCCGACCGCAATCCCGGTCCCAATCCCGATTCCCGATCCACATGGCGCCACCCACTCACCGCCCACCCGCAGCCCCCGGTGGCCCCCAGCTCGTACGGAAGCTTCACTTCCGTGTCTGCTGGTTGTGACAACCAATCAGCGAACTATTCCCGCTTTATGGGCGGGTTCGTCTAATTTAATTCGCTCTTATAGCTGTCTATCAATATTTTATTATCATTTTAACTCGAGATGGGCGGGCGCTTCTACATTCGCCTTCCCATTGGCTCATTTCGCTGTCAATCACGAGTCCCTGCCTTCCCATTGGCTGGCGCTTGGCGGGAGCGGGAGGCTCGCTCTGAGGGCGGCTCTGGGGTCCCTCCGGAGCCGCCCTCGATCCCCGAACCCAAATCCCGACCCCAAATCCCGGTCCCAGACCCCAGTCCCGGTCCTTATCCCAATCCCAAACCCCATTCCCGGTCCTAATCCCCATCCCAAACCCCAGTCCCGGCTCCAGTTCTGATTCCCGATCCACATGGCGCCACCCAATCACTGCCCGCCGGCAGCCCCCGCCTGGCCCCAGCGCGTACGGGAGGTTTACTTCCGTGTCTGCTCTTTGCGACAACCAATCAGCGGGCAAGCCCCGCCTTAGGGGCGGATTCATTTATTTCAATTGGTTTCTACAGCTGCCCGTCAATGCTTATTAAAATTCTCATTGGAGTAAGGCGAGACGGGCGGGCTCTTCTACATCCGTCCTATCATTGGCTCATTTCGCTGTCAATCACAAATCCCTGCCTTCCCATTGGCTGGCGCTTAGCGGGAGCGAGAGGTTCGCTCTGAGGTGGCTCCGGGGTCCCCTCGGAGCCTCCCTCGATTCCCGACTCCAACACCTAATCCCCGACCCCAATCCCGGTCCCAATCCCGATCCCTGACCCCAGTCCCGGTCCCAATCCCGATTCCCGATCCACATGGAGCCCCCCACTCACCACACGGCCCCAGCCCCCGCCTGCCCCCAGCTCGTACGAAAGCCCCACTTCCGTGTCTGCGCTTAGCGACAACGAATCAGCGGGCAAAACCCGCTTTACAGGTGTACTCCTTTCTTTTAATTGGCTTTTACATTTGTCAGTCAATGTTTTAATAAAGTCTCATTCGTTCAAGACGGGAGGGCGGGAGCTTCTAATACGCCTTCCCATTGGCTCATCTTGCTGTCAATCACTAATCCCCGCCTTCCCATTGGTGGGAAGCGGGAAGTTCGCTCTGAGGCGGCTCTGGTGTCCCCCCGGAGCCTCCCTCGATCCCCGAACCCAATTCCCGACCTCAATCCCGATCCTAATCCCGAACTCCGCCCCCAGTCCCGGTCCCAATTCCGATTCCCGATCCATATCGCAGAACCCACTCGCAGCCTCCGCTGGCCCCCAGCCCTTCCGGAAGATCCACTCCCGTGTATGCTCTTAGTGACAAGCAATCTGCGGGCAAAACCCGCCCTAGGGGATGACCTTTTTTCTTTAATTGGGTCTTACAGCTGTCTGTCAATATTATATTTAATTCTCACTATTTCAAGGGGAAATGGGCGGGTGCTTCTATATCCGCCTTCCAATTGGCTCAATTCCCTGTCAATCACTAATACCCGCCTTTCTATTGGCTGGCGCTTAGCGGGAGCGGAAAGTTCGCTCTGAGGCGTCTCTGAGGCTGCCCCGGAGCCTCCCTCGATCCCCGACCCCAATTTCCGTCCCCAATCCCGGTCCTAATCCCGATCCCAGACCCCAATCTCGGTCCCAATCCCGATTCCCGATCCACATGCCCTACACCCCCACCCTCCCCCCCCACGGCCGCCCGCAGACCCTATTGGGCCCTCAGCTGGTACGGAAGGTTTACTTCCGTGTATGTTCTTTGTGACAACCAATCAGCGGGCAAAACCCTCCTTAGGGGCTGAATCCTTTCCTTTAATTGGCTCTTACACCTGTCTGTCAATATTGTTTTTAATCCTCATTGGTCCAAGGTGAGAAGGGCGGGCGCTTCTATATCCGCCTTTCCATTGGCTCGATTCACTGTCAATCACGAATCCCTGCCTTCCCATTGACTGACGCTTGGCGGGAGCGGGAGGTTCGCTCTGAGGCGGCTCTGGGATGTCCTCGGAGCCTCTCTCGAACCCCGACCCCAATTTCCGACCCCAATCCCGGTCCCAATCCCGATCCCAGACCCCATTCCCGGTCCCAATCCCGATTCCCGATCCACATCCGCCCCCTTCCCCCACGGCCGCCCGCAGGCCTTATTGGCCTCCAGCTGGTACGGAAGGTTTACTTCCGTGTTTCCTCGTTGTGGCAGCCAATCAGCGGGCAAAACCCTCCTTAGGGGCTGAATCCTTTCCTTTAATTGGCTCTTACAGCTGTCTGTCAATATGGTATTTAATTCTCATTGGTCCAAGGCGAGGAGGGCGGGCGCTTCTAGATCCGCCTCTCCATTGGCTCGATTCACTGTCAATCAAGAATCCCTGCCTTCCCATTGGCTGGCGCTTGGCGGGAGCGGGAGGTTCGCTCTGAGGCGTCTCTGGGATGCCTTCGGAGCCTCCCTCGATCCCCGACCCCAAATCCCGATCCCGACCCCAAATCCCGACCCCAAACCCCGACCCCAATCCCGATCCCGCGGCCATGGAGCGGCAGCAGGAGCTGAAGGTGCTGCTGAAGCGCTGGGAAGCGGAATTCCTGCGGCAGCGCCAGCGCAAACCCAGCCAGGTGCGGCTGAGGGGCCGCCAGGGGAATCGTGAGGGGAAAATTCCTGTGGGGAGCCCTGGGATTGGTGGGGGGCGGGTTTGGGGTGACCTTGGGGTGGTTTTGGGGTTTTTGAGTTGGTTTTGGGGGTCCCTGGAATGGAAGTTTTTGGTTTATGGGATTTTTGGGGCGTCCCCGGAATGTTTGGGGCCATTTTTGGGGTGTCGGGGGGGATTTGGGGGGGCTCAGAATAAGAGGAGCCTCAGGGGGGGTCTTTGCAGGGGTTTTGGGGTTTATTTTCCATAACAAAACTTTTCCATTGGATTTCCCACCATAAAATTCTTCCAAAACAACCCAAAAATCCAAAAAAACCCAAATACCCCAAAAATCCAAAATCCCCCCCCAAAAAATCCCCAAATGCACCCCCAAAAATCCAAACATCAGAGAAACCCCAAATCCTCAAAAAGAAAAGCCCCAGATCCCTAAAAATCCCAAATCACTAAAAATCCCCCAAATCCAAGAAAACCTAAGGCCAAAAAAGTCCAAAAAACCCAAAATCCCCCCAAAAAACCCAACCCCCCAAAAAAAACCCCAAATTCCCCCCAAAACCACCAAATCCCCCATAAACCCCCCAAAGATCCCATAAAAAACCAAATCCCAAAAATCTCAGAAAAATCCCAAATAAATCCTAAAAAATGCCTCAAATCCTAAAAATCCCAGCCCAGAATCCCAAAAGTTCCCAAACCCCCCCCAAAATCCCAAATTCCCCAATAAAACCCCAAAAACTCTCGGGAAAAAATCCCAAAACCAAGAAATCCCCAAAACCCTAAAAAAACCCCAAACCTCCAAAAAACCTCAAATCCCCCCTCAAAAAACCCAAAATGCCCCCCAAAACCTCCACAAATCCAAGGAAAAAAGCCCCAAATCCCAAAAAATCCCCCCAAAATCCCAAGAATCCCCCCTAAAAACCCAAATTCCAAAAAAATCCCCAAATCCCCCCAAAATCCCCCAAAAACTTCACCCCAAAACCCCAAATGCCCCCCAAAAAAAACCCAAATCCCAAAAAACTTTCCAAAAATCCCACAAAAAACCCCAAATTCCCCAAAAACCCCTCAAAATCCCCCCCAAAACACCAAATTCCCCCAAAATTCTCCCAAAATCCCAAAAAAAGCCTTAAAAAATCCCAAATTTCCCCAAAAAAAAACCCCAAATCCCCCCCCAAAAACCCCCAAAATCCCATACAAAACCCCAGAAAAATCCCAAAATTCCTCAAATCCTAAAAATCCCAGCTCAGAATCCCAAAAATCCTCCCCCAAAAAATCCCAAAGGGCCCAAAAGACTCAGCAAAAACCCCAAAAACCCCAAATCCCCCCAAAAAAACCCAAATCTAAAAATAACCCCAAAATCCCAAACCCTAAAAACACCCAAAGCTCCAAAATACCCAAAGCCCTAAAAAAGACCCAAAATCCCCCCGAAAAAACCCCAAATCCACCAAAAATCCCCATTAAAAAACCTCAAATCCCCCCAAAAAACCCAAAATCCTCCCCAAAAACCCCAAATCCCCCAAAACCCCAAATCCCAAAAAAAATCCCAAATTCCCCCCAAAAATCCCCATTAAAAAACCCCAAAATCCCCCTGAAAAAAAACCCCAAATCCACCAAAAATCCCCCAAAAACCCCAAATTCCCCCCTAAAAACCCAAATCCCCTAAAAAATCCCCCAAATCCCAAAAAACCCCAAATCCCCCCAAAGAGACCAAATTCCCCCAAAGAACCCCAAATCCCCCCTAAAAACCCAAATCCCAGAAAAAAATCCCCCAAATCCCAAAAAAACCCCAAAATCCCCCAAATTCCCAAGAATTCCTCCCCAAAAATCCTAAATTCCAATAAAACCCCAAAATATCCCCAAATCCCCCCAAAAATCCCCCCAAAAACCCCAAATCCCCCTGAACTCCAAATCCCTAAAACCCCAAATTCCAAGAAAATCCCCAAAAATGCCCCCAAAAACCCCAAACCCCCAAAATTCCACCCCAAAATCCCCCAAAAATCTCCCAAATCTCAAGCAAACCCCAAATGCCCCCAAAAATCCCAAATCCCCCCCAAAAAACCCCTAAAAATCCCATACAAATCCCAAATCCCAAGAAACCCCAAATGCCCTCCCAAATCCACCCCAAAAAACCCCAAATTCCACCCAAAAACCCCAAAATTCCCCCAAAAACCCCGAAGATCCCCCCAAAAAACCCCAAATCCCCCCAAAAACCAACCACAAAAAAAACCCCAAATCCCAAATTCCCCAAAAAATCCCAAATCCAAGAAAAGCTCAAAATCCTTAGAAAAACCCCAAAACCCTAAAAAAACACCCAAACCTTCAAAAAACCCCAAAATTCCCCCAAAAAACCCTAATCCCTCCAAAAAACTCAAATTCCCCCAAAAAAATCCCCCCCAAAAATCCCAAAACTGCAGAAATCCCAGAAAAAAGCCCCAAATCCCAAAAAAATCCCTTAAAATCCCAAGAATCCCAAAAAAATTCCAAAAATCCCCTAAAATCCCCCCAAAAACCCCAAATCCCCCCCAAAATCCCCCAATTTCCCCAAAATCCCCAAATCCCATGAAAAAGCCCCAAATCTCCCAAACCTCAAAAGCCCCAAAATCCCCAAACCCAACCCCAAATAAAAAACCCCAAAAAACCCAAAAAACCCCAAATTTCCCCTAAAAAAGGTCCAAAAAACCCCAAATTTCCCCCAAAAAGGCCCCAAAAAACCCCAAATTCCCCCTAAAAAGGCCCCAAAAAGCCCCAAATTTCACCTAAAAAGGGCCCAAAAAACCCCAAATTTCCCCTAAAAAGGCCCCCAAAAAACCCCAAATTTCCCCTAAAAAAAGGCCCAAAAAACCCCAAATTTCCCCTAAAAAGGGCCCAAAAACCCCAAATTTCCCCTAAAAAGGGCCCAAAAAGGCCCAAAATTTCCCCTAAGAAAGGGCCCAAAAAGGCCCCAAAAAACCCCAAATTTCCCCTAAAAAAAGGCCCAAAAACCCCAAATTTCCTCTAAAAAGGCCCCCAAAAAGGCCCCAAAAAAACCCAAATTTCCCCCAAAAAAGGCCCCCAAAAACCCCAAATTTCCCCTAAAAAAAGGCCCCAAGAACCCCAAATTTCCCCTAAAAAGGCCCCAAAAAGGCCCCAAAAAAGCCCCAAATTTCTCCTAAAAAAAGGCCCCAAAAAAACCCAAATTTCCCCCAAAAAAGGCCCCCAAAAACCCCAAATTTCCCCTAAAAAAAGGCCCCAAGAACCCCAAATTTCCCCTAAAAAGGCCCCAAAAAGGCCCCAAAAAAGCCCCAAATTTCTCCTAAAAAAAGGCCCAAAAAACCCCAAATTTCCCCTAAAAAGGCCCCCAAAAAACCCCAAATTTCCCCTAAAAAGGCCCCCAAAAAAACCCAAATTTCCCCCAAAAAAGGCCCCAAAAGCCTCAAATTTCCCCTAAAAAAGGGCCCAAAAAAGGCCCCAAAAAGCCCCAAATTTCCCCCAAAAAAGGCCCCAAAAAGCCCCACATTTCCCCTAAAAAAGGCCCCAAAAAATCCAAATTTCCCCTAAAAAGGCCCCAAAAAGCCCCAAATTTCCCCTAAAAAGGTCCAAAAAACCCCAAATTTCCCCTAAAAAAGGTCCCAAAAAGGGCCCAAACGCCCCCAAATTTCCCCTAAAAAAAGGCCCAAAAAAGGCCCCAAAAAACCCGAAATTTCCCCTAAAAAGGGCCCAAAAAGCCCCAAATTTCCCCCAAAAAAGGCCCCCAAAAGCCCCCAATTTCCCCTAAAAAAGGCCCAAAAAGCCCCAAATTTCCCCTAAAAAGGCCCCAAAAACCCCCAAATTTCCCCTAAAAAGGCCCCCAAACCCTCCAAATTTCCCCTAAAGAAAAGGCCCAAAAAACCCCAAATTTCCCCTAAAAAGGCCCCAAAAATACCCAAATTTCCCCTAAAAAAGGCCCCAAAAAGGGCCCAAAAACCCCCAAATTTCCCCTGAAAAGGCCCCAAAAACCCTAAATTTCCCCTAAAAAGGCCCCAAAAACCCCCAAATTTCCCCTAAAAAAGGCCCCAAAAAACCCCAAATTTCCCCTAAAAAAGCCCCCAAAAAGGGCCCAAAAAGGCCCCAAATTTCCCCTAAAAAGGCCCCAAAAAGGGCCCAAAAACCCCAAATTTCCTCTTAAAAAAGGCCCAAAAATGGCCCCAAAAACCCCCAAATTTCCCCTAAAAAGGCCCCAAAAATCCCAAAATTTCCCCTAAAAAAAGGCCCAAAAAAGGCCCCAAAAAACCCCAAATTTCCCCTAAAAAAGGCCTCAAAAAGCCCCAAATTTCCCCTAAAAAAGGCCCAAAAAGCCCCAAATTTCCCCTAAAAAAAGGCCCAAAAAACCCCCAAATTTCCCCTATAAGAGGCCCCAAAAAGGGCCCAAAACCCCCAAATTTCCCCTAAAAAGGCCCCAAAAAGGGCCCAAAAAGGCCCAAAATTTCCCCTAAGAAAGGGCCCAAAATTTCCCCAAAAACCCCAAAATTCCCCTAAAAAAAGGCCCAAAAAAACCCCCAAATTTCCCCTAAAAAAGGCCCCAAAAAGGGCCCAAAACCCCCAAATTTCCCCTAAAAAAGGCCCCAAAAAGGGCCCAAAAAACCCCAAATTTCCTCTTAAAAAAGGGCCAAAAATGGCCCCAAAACCCCCCAAATTTCCCCTAAAAAGGCCCCAAAAACCCCAAAATTCTCCTAAGAAAGGGCCCAAAAACCCCAAATTTCCCCCAAAAAGGCCCAAAAAAGGCCCCAAAATTCCCCTAAAAAAGGCCCCAAAAAGGGCCCCAAAAACCCCAAATTTCCTCTTAAAAAAGGCCCAAAAATGGCCCCAAAAAACCCCAAATTTCCCCTAAAAAGGCCCCAAAAAGGGCCCAAAAAAACGCCAAAAATCCCAAAATCCCCCAAAATCCCCAAATGCTTCCCCTGGTGTGGATTTTGGGGCCATTCCCAAATTTTTTCATTTTTTGGGATTTTTTCCCCCCCAGGCCGACATCGAGGAGGCTCCGGAGGAAACGCGCAGTGAGTGCCCCAAAACCCCCAAAATTGAACCCAAAATCCACCCAAAATCCACCCCAAAATTCACCCCAAATTGACCCCAAAATCCCCAAATTTCACCCCAAAATCCACCCCAAAATTGACCCTAAAATCTTCAATTTTTACCCAAAATCCCCAATTTTAACCCCAAATCCGAACCCAAAATCCCCAATTTTTACCTGAAATCCCCAAATTTTACCCAAAATTGCCAAAATTGAACCCCAAATCCCCAAATTTCCACCCAAAATCCCCAAATTTTACCCCAATCCCCAAATTTTTACCCAAAATCCCCAAAATTTACCCTAAAAGCCTCAAATTTGAACCCAAAAGCCCCAAATTTTACCCAAAATTCACAAATTTGAACCCTAAATCCCCAAAATTGACCCCAAAATCCCCAAATTTTCCCCAAAATCCCCAATTTTCCCCCAAATTCCCCTTAAATTTATCAAATTTCTCCCAATTTTCTCCCAAATTTCTCAATTTTCCACAAAATTTTTGTATTTTCCTCTCAAAATTTCCAATTTTTCCCAATTTCCCCAAAATTCCCCCAAAATTCCCCTCAAAATCCCCAATTTTTACCCCAAATCCCCAATTTTTTACCTAAAATATCCCAAATTTTGCCCCAAAATCCCCAATTTTAACTCCAAATTGTACCAAAATCCCCAAATTTTACCCCAAAATCCCCAAATTTAACCCCAAATCCCCAATTTTTACCCCAAATTTTACCCTAAGATCCCCAATTTTAACCCCAAAATCCACCCCAAAATCATCAATTTTTACCCCAAAATTGCCAAAATTGAACCCAAAATCCCCAAATTTTACCCCAAATCCAAACCCCAAATCCCCAATTTTTACCCCAAAATTGCCAAATTTTTCCCAAATTCCCAAATTCTCCCCAAAATTCCCAAATTTTTCCCCAATTCCCCCCAAAATTCCAAATTTTTCTCAAATTCTCCTCAAAATTCCCAAATTGTCCCGAAATTTCCCCAGAATTCCCAAATTCCCCCAATATTCCAAATTTTTCTCAAATTCCCCCAAAATTCCCAATTTTTCCCCAAATTATCCCCGAAATTCCCAAATTTTTCCTTAAATTTCCCCCAAAATTCCCAAATTTTTATCAAAATTCCCAAACTTTTCTCCAATTTTCCCCAAAATTCTCCATTTTTCCTCCAAAATTCCCAAATTTTAATCAAATTTCCCCAAATTTTTTCTCCAATTTCCCCCAAAATTCCCCAATTTTTCCCAAATCTCCCCCAAAATTCCCAAATTTTTCCCAATTTTCCCAAAATTCCCCCAAAAATCCCAAATTTTAATCAAATTTCCCCCAAAATTCCCCATTTTTTCTCCAATTTCCCCCAAAATTCTCAATTTTTTCTCAAATTTTCCCAAATTCCCCCCAAATTCTCCATTTTTCCAAGGTTTTCCCCCCAAATTTCCCAATTTCCCCTCAGAATTTTCCCCAAATTTTCCCAAATTCTCCCCAATTTTTCCCAAATCCCCCCAAATTTCCCCCAAAATTCCCCAAATTTCCTCCAATTCTCCCCAATTTTTCCCCAAATTTCCCCCAAAATTCCCAAATTTTCTCCAATTCTCCCCAAAATTCCCCAATTTACCCCAAATTTTCCTCAATTTCCCCAAAATTTTCTCCAATTTTCCCCCTAAAAATTCCCAAATTTTTCCCAATTTACTCCAAAATTCCCCAAATTTTCCTCAAATTCCCCCCAAATTCTCCCCAAAATTCCCAAATTTTTCTCCAATTTCCCCCAAATTCTCCCCAAATTTCCCCCAAATTCTCCCCAAATTCTCAAATTCCCTCCAAAAATTCCCAAATTTTTCAAGGTTTCCCCCCAAATTTCCCGATTTTCCCCCAATTTTTCCCAATTTTCCCCATTTTTCCCCTAATTTCCCCCAAATTTCCCTCAATTTCCCCAAATTTTTCTCCAATTTTCCCCAAATTTCCCCCAAAATTCTCCATTTTTCCAAGGTTTTCCCCCCAAATTTCCTGATTTTCCCCCCTATTTTTCCCCAAATTTCCCCCAATTTCCCCCAGAATTTTCCCCAATTTCCCATTTTTCCCCATTTTTCCCAAATTTCCCCATTTTTTTCCCCATTTTTTTCCCCATTTTTTCCCCATTTTTCCCAATTCCCTCATTTTTCCCCATTTTTCCCCATTTTTCCCCATTTTTCCCCATTTTTCCCCATTTTTCCCCATTTTTCCCAAATTTCCCCATTTTCCCCATTTTTCCCCCATTTTCCCCAAATTTCCCCATTTTTCCCAATTTCCCCATTTTTTCCCCATTTTTCCCCATTTTTTCCCCATTTTTCCCAAATTTCCCCATTTTCCCCTTTTTTTCCCAATTTTTCCCAATTTTCCCCATTTTTTCCCCATTTTTCCCCAATTTTCCCCATTTTTCCGAAATTTCCCCATTTTTCCCCATTTTTTTCCCCAATTTCCCAAATTTCCCCATTTTTCCCCATTTTTCCCCATTTCCCCATTTTTCCCCATTTTCCCCAATTTTTCCCATTTTTTCCCCATTTTTCCCCATTTTTCCCAAATTTCCCCATTTTTTCCCCTTTTTTCCCCATTTCCCCCCATTTTTCCCCATTTTTTCCCCATTTTTCCCCATTTTTTCCCCAAATTTTCCCCATTTTTCCCCAATTTCCCCCATTTTCCCCAAATTTCCCCATTTTTTCCCCATTTTCCCCATTTTTTCCCCATTTTTCCCAAATTTCCCCTTTTTTTCCCCAATTTTTCCCCATTTTTCCCCATTTTCCCCCAGAATTTCCCCAATTTTCCCCCATTTTTCTCCCATTTTTCCCCAAATTTTCCCCATTTTCCCCATTTTTCCCCATTTTTCCCCCATTTTTTCCCCATTTTACCCCCATTTTTTCCCCATTTTTCCCCAAATTTTCCCCAAATTTCCCCATTTTTCCCAATTTTCCCCATTTTTCCCAAATTTCCCCATTTTTCCCCATTTTCCCCATTTTTCCCAAATTTCCCCATTTTTCCCCCATTTTCCCCCATTTTCCCCCATTTTCCCCCATTTTTCCCCATTTTTCCCCAAATTTCCCCATTTTCCCCCATTTTTTCCCCATTTTTCCCAAATTTCCCCATTTTTCCCCCATTTTTCCCCATTTTTTCCCCATTTTTCCCCATTTTTTCCCATTTTTTCCCCTTTTTTTCCCCATTTTTCCCCAATTTTTCCCCATTTTTCCCCCATTTTTTCCCCATTTTTCCCCATTTTTTCCCCATTTTTTCTCCAATTTCCCCCAAAATTCCCAAATTTCCCCCAAAATTCCCAAATTTTCCCCATTTTCCCCCATTTTTTCCCAAATTTTCCCAAATTTTCCCATTTTTCCCCCATTTCCCAGGGCTGTACCGTCAGTACCGGGAGCTCAAACGCTGCCAGAGCCGGGAGAGAGCGGGGACGGGAACAGAGCGGGGAGAGCAGGTCAGGAACACAAAATAAACCCTAAAAATCCCTAAAAAATCCCAAAATAAACCCTAAAAAACCCTAAATAAACCTCAAAATAAACCCCAAAATAAACCCCAAAAATAAACCCTAAAAAATCACAAAAAACCCTAAAAAAACCCAAAATAAACCCCAAAATAAACCCTAAAAACCCCCAAAATAAACCCAAAAAAACCCCAAAGGGAGAGCAGGTCAGGAACACAAAATAAACTCTAAAAAACCCTAAAATAAACCCTAAAATAAATCCCAAAAATAAACCCAAAATAAACCCAAAAATAAACCCTAAAAATCCCAAAAATATTGAAAAAACCCCAAATGCGGAGCAGGTGCTGAAACCTCCATAAAAAACCAAAATCCCAAAAAGCCCAAAATGCCGCAAAAATCCCCAAAAGCACCAAATGAGGAGCAGGGCCTGAATCCCCAAAAAACCCAAAAAAATCCCAAAAATCCCAAATGAGGAGCAGGTGCTGAAACCCCAAAAAGCCCCAAAAAAACCCCAAAAATAAACCCCAAATACCCCAAAATAAACCCCAAAGGAGGAGCAGGTCCTGGACCCTAAAACTCCCAAAAAATCCCCAAAAAACCCCAAAACCAAAAAACCCCAAATCAGGAGCAGAGCCTGAAACCCCAAAACCCAAAAATAAACCCAAAAAAAACCCCCAAAATAAACCCTAAAAAAAACCAAAATAAACCCCCCAAAAAGCCCTAAAATAAAGCCCAAAACCCCCAAAAAACCCCAAAGGAGGAGCAGGTGAGGAACCCCAAAAACCCCAAAATAAACCCCAAAAATAAACCCAAAATAAACCCCAAATAAACCCTAAAAAATCCCAAATAAACCCCAAAGGGGGAGCAGGTGAGGAACACAAAATAAACCCGAAATAAACCCCAAAATAAACCCTAAAATACACCCAAAATAAACCCAAAAAATCCCAAAATGAACCCCAAAAAATCCCCAAAAACCTTAAAAATAAACCCCAAAAAAATCAAAAAAAACCCCCCAAAATAAACCCTAAAAAAACCCAAAATAAACCCCCCAAAAACCCCAAAATAAACCCTAAAAAATCCCAAAAAAAGCCCCCAAAAAGCCCAAAATAAACCCCAAAAAAAACCCAAAATAAACCATAAAAAATCCCAAAATAAACCCCAAAGGAGGAGCAGGTGCTGAACCCCAAAAACCCCAAAATAAACCCCAGAAAAACCCCAAATAAACCCCAAAAAAATCCCAAATGAACCCTAAAAAAAACCCCAAAAAACCCCAAAATAAACCCAAAAAAACCCCAAAATAAAGCCTAAAAAAAACCCCCAAAAACGCCAAAATAAACCCAAAATAAACCCTAAAAAATCCCAAATAAACCCCAAAATAACCCCAAAAACCCCAAAATAAACCCCAGAAAAACCCCAAAATAAACCCCAAAAACGCCAAAATAAACCCAAAATAAACCCCAAATAAACCCAAAAAAAACCCAAAATAAACCCAAAATAAACCTCCAAAAATCCCAAAATAAACCCCAAATAAACCACGAAAAAAATCCTAAAAAATCCCAAAATAAGCCCTAAAATAAACCCCAAAAAATCCCAAGAAAAACCCAAATAAACCCCAAAAACCCCAAAATAAACCCAAAAAAACCCCAAAATAAACCCTAAAAATAAACCCTAAAAAACCCTAAAATAAGCCCCAGAAACCCCAAAACAAACCCTAAAATAAACCCCAAGGGAGGAGCAGGTGAGGAACACAAAAACCCCAAAAAAACCCCAAATAAACCCCAGAAAACCCCCCAAAAAACCCCAAAAGAAACCCCCAAAAAACCCCAAAATAAACCCTAAAATAGACCCCAAAAAACCCCAAATAAACCTGAAAAAACCCCTAAAAATCCCAAAATAAACCCCAAAAAATCCCAAAGGAGGAGCAGGTGAGGAACCTCAAAACCTCCAAAATAAACCCCAAAAAATCCCAAAATAAACCCAAAAACCCCCAAATAAACCCCAAAAAACCCCCCAAAAACCCCAAAATAAGCCCTAAAATAAACCCCAAAAAAACCCAAAATAAACCCCAAAAACCCCAAAATAAACCCCACAAAAACCCAAATAAACCCAAAAAATCCCAAAAAAACCCCAAAATAAACCCCAGAAAACCCCAAAATAATCCCTAAATAAACCCAAAATAAACCCCAAAATAAACCCCAAAATAAACCCCAAATAAACCCCAAAAACCCCAAAAAACCCCCAAAAAAAACCCTAAAAATCCCCAAAAACTCCAAAAGAAACCCTAAAATAAACCCTAAATAAACCCTAAAAAATCCCAAAATAAACCCAAATAAACCCCAAAGGGCGAGCAGGTGAGGAACCCAAAAAACCCCAAAATAAACCCTAAAAAGTCCCAAAATAAACCCCAAAAACGCCAAAATAAACCCTAAAATAAACCCTAAAAACCACCAAAATAAACACAAAATAAACCCCAAAAAAACCTAAAAATAAACCCCCAAAAAAGCTCCCAAAAATCCCAAAACAAACCCCAAAATAAACCCCAAAGGAGGAGCAGGTGAGGAACACAAAATAACCCCAAAAAACCAAAATAAACCCTAAAAAAACCCCAAAAAATCCCAAAATAAACCCCAAAATAAACATAAAAGAAACCCCAAAAAAATCCCAAAATAAACCCTAAAAATCCCCAAAAAAAAACCCCCAAAATAAACCCGAAAAAACCCTGAAAAACCCCAAAATAAACCCCCCAAAAAACCCAAATAAACCCCCAAAAAACCCTAAAATAAACCCAAAAAAACCCCCCAAAACCCCAAAATAAACCCCCCAAAAAACCCCAAAGGAGGAGCAGGTGCTGAACCCAAAAAAACCCAAAAAAACCCCAAAATAAACCCCAAATAAACCACAAAAAACCCCAAAATAAACCCCAAATAAACCTCCAAAAATCCCAAAATAAACCCCAAAATAAACCACAAAAAAAGTCCTAAAAAACCCCAAAATAAACCCCAAAATAAACCCCAGAAAACCCCAAAATAAACCCAAATAAACCCCAAATAAACCCTAAAAAAAACCCAAATAAACCCTAAAAAAACCAAAAAAACCCCAAAATAAACCCCAAAGGAGGAGCAGGTGAGGAACCCAAAAACCCCAAAAAAACCCCAAAAAAACCCCAAATAAACCCCAAAATAAACACAAAAAATCCCAAAAAAACCCAAAAAACCCCAAAATAAACCCCAGAAAAACCCCAAAATAAACCCCAAATAAACCCTAAAAAAACCCAAATAAACCCTAAAAAAACCCCCCAAAACCCTAAAATAAACCCCAAAAACCCCCAAAAAAACCCAAAATAAACCCCAAAATTGGGCTGGGATTTCTTTGGGATTTGGGGATTTTTGGGAGATTTTTGGGATTTTTGGGGTGGAATTTTTTGGGATTTTTGGGGGGATTTTTTGGGACTTTTGGGGATTTTTTGGGATTTTTGGGGTGGAATTTTTGGGGGATTTTTTGGGATTTTGAAGTGGGAATTTTGGGGATTTTTGGGAGATGTTTTGGGATTTTTTGGGGATTTTTTTGGATCTTTGGGGGATTTTTGGGATTTTGAAGTGGGAATTTTTGGGAGATTTTTTGGGGATTTTTTGGGATTTTCGGCTGGGATTTTTTGGGGATTTGGAGATTTTTTGGGATTGGGGATTTGGGGCTTTTTTGGGGGGGATTTTTTGGGATTTTTTGGGGTTTTTGGGGTTCAGTCCCTGCTCCTCATTTGGGGTTTTGGGGTTTTTTGGGGGATTTTTGGGGATTTTGAATTGGGATTTTTTGGGATTTTTGGGAGATTTTTGGGATTTTTGGCAATTCTGGGCTGGGATTTTTTTGGGATGGAATTTTTGGGATTTTGGGATTTGGAATTTTTGGGATTTTGGGATTTGGGATTAGGGATTTTTGGGGCATTTGGGGTTTTTGGGATTCTTTGGCATTCAGGACCTGCTCCTCATTTGGGATTTTTGGGAGATTTTTTGGGATTTTTGGGGTGGAATTTTTGGGGTGGAATTTTTGGGATTTTGAATTGGGGATTTTTGGGATTTTGAGGGGATTTTTTGGGATTTTTTGGGATTCTGGGCTGGGATTTTTTGGGATTTTGGGATTTGGGGTTTTTGGGAACCTCTGGGATTTGGGATTGGGGATTTGGGGCATTTTTGGGGGGTTTTGGGTTTTTTGGGATTTTTTGGGGTTTTTGGGGTTCAGTCCCTGCTCCTCATTTGGGGATTTTGGGGATTTTTGGGAGATTTTTGGGGATTTTGGGATTTTAGGATTTTTTGGGGTTTTTTTGGGATTTTTTGGGGGATTCTGGGCTGGGATTTTTGGGGATTTTTGGGAGATTTTTTGGGATTTTTGGGGTGGAATTTTTGGGGGATTTTTTGGGATTTTGAATTGGGAATTTTTGGGATCTTTGGGGGGATTTTTTTGGGATTTTTTGGGATTCTGGGCTGGGATTTTTTGGGATTTTGAGATTTGGGGTTTTTGGGAACCTCTGGGATTTGGGATTTTTGGGATTTTTGGGATTTGGGATTGGGGATTTGGGGGATTTTTGGGGGGTTTTGGGTTTTTTGGGATTTTTTGGGGTTTTTGGGGTTCAGGACCTGCTCCTCATTTGGGGATTTTGGGGTTTTTTGAGGGGATTTTGGGGTTTTTTTATGGGGGATTTCTGGGGGATTTTTTGGGGATTTGGGGGTTTTTGGGATCTTTGGGATTTTTTGGGGATTTTTTGGGAGATTTTTTGGGATTCTGGGCTGGGATTTTTTTAGGGATTTGGGGATTCTGACCTGGGATTTTTGCAATTTTTTGAGTGTTTTCTGTTGTAATTTTGTGATTTTCTCCCTTTGCAGGAGGAAGATTTGGGGTTTTGGGGCTCCCACCTGAACCGAGCCCCCAAAGGCCCCGGGCGGGGCCGGGCCCGGCAGCCCCGGGCGGGAATTTCCCAAATTTATGGCAAAAAACTCAAAACCAAACTGGGAGCAACTGGGAAGGTCAGGAGGAAATGGGGAAATGGGATTGGCCAAGGAGGGGCCTTGGGGGCGGGGCTTGGCCCAGAATTTGGGATCCCAAAATTTGGGAAACGGCCCCAAAATGAGAGAGACCAAAATAAGGGGAGAGACCAAAAAGCAGAAACCCCAAAAACTGGAAACCCCCCCTAAAAATGTGGAAAATCCCAAAATTTGGGAGCCCTGAAAATCTGAGACCCCAAAAATTGGAGAATCCCAAAATTCAGAAAATCCCAAAATTTGGGATCCCCAAAATCCAAGACCCTGAAAATTGGAGAGACCAAAAATCAGAAACCCCAAAAAATGGAAACCCCCCCTAAAAATGTGGAAAATCCCAAAATTTGAGAGCCCAAAAATTGGAAACCCCTCAAAAAATGTGGAAAATCCCCAAATTTGGGAGCCCTGAAAATCTGAGACCCCAAAAATTGGAGAATCCCAAAATTTGGGACCCCTGAAAATTTGGGATCCCAAAATTCAGAGAATCCCAAAATTTGAAACCCCAAAATTGGAGACCCCAAAAATCAGAGACCCCAAAATTTGGAGACCCCAAAAATCCAAGATCTCAAAAGTTGGAGAATCCCAAAATTTGGGAGCCCAAAAGTTGGAGAATCCCAAAAATCAGAGACCCCAAAAGATGAAAAATCCCAAAAATTGGGATCCCAAAAAATGGAGAATACCAAAATTCAGAGAATCCCAAAATTTGGGATCCCAAAAAATGGAAAAAAAAACCAAAAATCAGAGACCCCAAAATTTGGAGAATCCAAAAATTTGAGAATCCAAAATTGGAGAATCCAAAAAATAGAGACCCCAAAAATTGGAGAATCCCAAAATTGGAGAATCCCAAAATTTGGGATCCCAAAATTCAGAGAATCCCAAAATTTGGGACCCAAAAAATGGAAAAAAACCCCAAAAATTGGAGACCCCAAAAATCAGAGACCCCAAAATTGGAGAAACACAAAATTTAGAGAATCTCAAAATTCAGAGAATCCCAAAATTCGGGATCCCCTAAAATTGGAGAACCCAAAACCAGAGATCCCAAAAATTGGAGAATCCCAAAATTTGGGAGCCCTGAAAATTGGAGACCCCAAAATTTGGGACCCCAAAAAATGGAAAAAAACCCCAAAAATCAGAGACCCCAAAATTTGGAGAATCCCAAAATTAGAGAATCCCAAAAAATGGAGAATCCCAAAATTCAGAGAATCCCAAAATTTGGGATCCCCAAAATCCAAGACCCTGAAAATTGGAGACCCCAAAAATCAGAAACCCCAAAAAATGGAGAATCCCAAAATTGAGAGAATCCCAAAATTTGGGCTCTCAAAAATTAAAGAATCTCAAACATTGGAGAATCCCAAAATTTGGGAGCCCTGGAAATTTGAGAGCCCAAAATTCAGAGAATCCCAAAATTTGGGAGCCCAGAAAATGGAAAAAACCCCAAAATTGGAGACCCCAAAAATCAGAGATCTCAAAAGTTGGAGAATCCCAAAAGTTGGAGAATCCCAAAATCAGGGACCCCCAAAAATTGGGAGAATCCCAAAATTGAGAAAATCCCAAAATTTGGGATTGCCCAAAATGAAAGAACCCAAAAATCAGAGACCCCAAAAGTGGAGAAGCCTAAAATTTGGGAGGCCTGAAAATTGGAGAATCCCAAAATTCAGAGACCCCAAAATTAGAGAATCCCAAAATTCAGAGAATCCCAAAATTTGGGACCCCAAAAAATAGAAAAAAACCCCAAAATTGGAGAACTCAAAAATCAAAGATCTCAAAAATTGGAGAATCCCAAAATTCAAAGACTCCAAAAGATGAAAAATCCCAAAACATGGAGAATCCCAAAAATCAGAGACTCAAAATTGGAAAATCCCAAAATTTGGGACCCCAAAAATTGAAGAATCCGAAAAATCAGAGACCCCAAAAGATGAAGGATCCCAAAATTTGGGACCCCAAAAATCAGAGACCCAAAAAATGGAGAATCCCAAAATTTGGGAGCCCTGAAAATTTGAGAATCCCAAAAATCAGAGACCCCAAAATTTGGAGACCCCAAAAATCCGAGATCTCAAAAGTTGGAGAATCCCAAAAAATTGGAGAATCCAAAAATCAGAAAATCCCAAAATTTGGGATCCCCCAAGATCCAAGACCCTGAAAGTTGGAGACCCCAAAAACCAGAAACCCCAAAAAATGGAGAATCCCAAAATTTGGGATCCCAAAATTCAGAGACCCCAAAAATTGGAAAACCCAAAATTGGAGAATCCCAAAATTCGGGACCCCTGAAAATTGGAGAATCCCAAAATCAGAGATCCCAAAAATCAGAAAATCCCAAAATTTGGGATCCCAAAATGAAAGAACCCAAAAATCTGAGACCCCTAAATTGGAAAATCCCAAAAATCAGAGAATCCCAAAATTTGGGATCCCCTAAAATTAAAGATCCTGAAAATTGGAGACCCCAAAATTTGGGACCCCAAAAAGGTGGAGAACCCAAAACTCAGAGACCTCAAAAGTGGAAAAATCCCAAAATTGGAGAATCCCTGAAAATCTGAGACCCCAAAAATTGGAGACCCCAAAAACTGGAAACCCCAAAAATTTGGAAAATCCCCAAAATTTGGGATCTCAAAAATTTGATATCCCAACAATGAGAGAATCCCAAAATGAGAGACCCCAAAAATCAGAGACCCCAAAATTTGGAGAATCCCAAAATTGGAGAATCCCAAAATTCAGAGAATCCCAAAATTTGGGACTTCCAAAATTAAAGACGCTGAAAATTTGAGATCCCAAAAATTGGAAACGCCTCAAAAAATGTGGAAAATCCCCAAATTTGGGAGCCCTGAAAATCTGAGACCCCAAAAATTGGAGAATCCCAAAATTCAGAGAATCCCAAAATTGGAGAATCCCAAAATTTGGGATCCCCTAAAATTGGTGTCACCAAAAATTCAGAGAATCCCAAAATTTGGGATTTCCCCAAAATCCAAGACCCTGAAAATTGGAGACCCCAAAAATCAGAGACCCCAAAAAATGGAGAATCCCAAAATTGGAGAATCCCAAAATTTGGGCTCTCAAAAATTAAAGAATCTCAAACATTGGAGAATCCCAAAATTTGGGAGCCCTGGAAATTTGAGAGCCCAAAATTCAGAGAATCCCAAAATTTGGGACCCCAGAAAATGGAAAAAACCCCAAAATTGGAGACCCCCAAAAATCAGAGACCCCAAATTCAGAGAATCCCAAAATTTGGGATCCCCAAAATTGGAGAATCCCAAAATTCAGAGACCCCAAAAGATGAAAAATCCCAAAATCTGGGAGCCCTGAAAATCGGAGACCCCAAAATTGGAGAATCCCAAAATTCAGAGAATCCCAAAATTCAGGATCCCCCTAAAATTAAAGAGAGAAAATTGGAGACCCCAAAAATCAGAAACCCTAAAAATGGAGAATCCCAAAATTTGGGATCCCAAAATTCAGAGACCCCAAAAATTGGAGAATCCCAAAAAATGGAGAATCCCAAAATTGGAGAAACCCAAAATTTGGGACCCCCAAAAATTCAAGACACCAAAAATTGGAGAATCCTAAAAATCAGAGACCCCAAAAGTTGGAGAATCCCAAAATTGGAGAATCCCAAAATTTAGAGAATCTCAAGAGTTGGAGAATCCCAAAATTCAGAGAATCCCAAAATTCAGGATCCCCTAAAATTGGAGAACCCAAAACCAGAGATCCCAAAAGTTGGAGAATCCCAAAATTTGGGACCCCAAAAAATGGAAAAAAAACCCCAAAAATCAGAGACCCCAAAATTGGAGAAACACAAAATTTGGGTTCCCAAAATTTGGAACCCCCGAAAATTCAAGACACCAAAAGTTGGAGAATCCCAAAATTGGAGAATCCCAAAAATCAGAGAATCCCAAAATTTGGGATCCCCTAAAATTAAAGATCCTGAAAATTGGAGACTCCAAAATTAGGGACCCCAAAAAGTTGGAGAATCCCAAAATCTGAGATCCCAAAATCAGAGACCCCAAAAATTGGAAAACCCAAAATTGGAGAATCCCAAAATTTGGGAGCCCTGAAAATTGGAGACCCCAAAATTCGGGATCCCAAAAAATTGGAGAATCCCAAAATTCAGAGAATCCCAAAAATTGGAGAATCCCAAAATTTAAGAATCCAAAAATTGGAGAATCCCAAAATTCAGAGAATCCCAAAATTGGAGAATCCCAAAATTTGGGAGCCCTGAAAATTTGAGCCCCAAAAATTCAGAGAATCCCAAAATTTGGGACCCCAGAAAATGGAAAAAAACCCCAAAATTTGAGACCCCCAAAAATCAGAGACCCCAAAATTTGGAGACCCCAAAAATCTGAGATCTCAAAAGTTGGAGAATCCCAAAATTAGAGAATCCCAAGAAATGGAGAATCCCAAAATTTGGGTTCCTAAAAATTAAAGAATCTCAAAATTTGGGATCCCCAAAATCAAAGACCCTGAAAATCAGAGACCCCAAAAAATGGAGAATCCCAAAATTTGGGATCCCAAAATGCAGAGACCCCAAAATTGAGAAAATCCCAAAATTTGGGACCCCCTAAAATTGGAGAATCCCAAAATTCAGAGACCCCAAAAGATGAAAAATCCCAAAATTTGGGATCCCAAAAATTGGAGAGTCCCAAAATTTGGGATCCCAAAATTCAGAGACCCCAAAATTTGGGATCCCTGAAAATTGGAGAATCCCAAAATTTGGATTCCCCCAAATCCCAGTTAAATTTTGGGTTTGAAATTCCGGAGTTTGCACCAAAATTTGGGAATTTTTTGTCTCTTTTCTCCAGGAGCCGCCTCTGAACCCAAACCTGCGGAAAATCCCAAAAACTCCCCAGGCCCACAAAGAATTCCCAGAGCTGGGAGCAGAAATTCCAAAGGAAAATCCCAAAAAATCCCAAAATTCCCAAGGATTCCCAGAGCTGGGAGCTGAAATTCCACCAAAAAATCCCCAAAATTCCCAAAAATTCCCACATTTTTTCCTTCCAACCTCACTGGAAAAAAATCCCCAAAATTCCCAATTTTTCCCAGAGTTTGGAGCTGAAATTCCATCAAAAAATTCCCAAGGATTCCCAGAGTTGGGAGCTGAAATTCCAAAAGAAAATCCCAAAAAATCCCAAAAATTCCCAGAGTTTGGAGCTGAAATTCCATCAGAAAATCCCAAAAATTCCCAAGGATTCCCAAAATATCCCAAAAAATTCAAAGGATTCCCAGAGCTGGGAGCTGAAATTCCATTACAAATTCCCAAAAATTCCCAATTTTTCCCAGATTTTGGAGCTGAAATTCCATCAGAAAATTCCCAAAAATCCCCAGAGCTGGGAGCTGAAATTCCATCAGAAAATCCCCAAAATTCCCCAGAATTCCCAGATTTTGGAGCTGAAATTCCCTCAGAAAATCCCCAAAATTCCCAATTTTTCCCAGATTTTTCCCTTCCGACCTCCCTGGACCGGAATCCCCCCAAATTCCCCTCCCAAATTCCCGGATTTTTCCCCATTCCCGAAAAATTCCGGCGGCTCCGGCAGAACGTGGCCCAAACTTTGGGATCCTTGGACCCCGCCTGGATCCAGAGGGTGGAGGAATCCCAAAAACCTTGGGAATTATCCCAAAAACCTTGGGAATTATCCCAAAAACCTTGGGAATTATCCCAAAAACCTTGGGAATTATCCCAAAAAAATTGGGAATTTTGGGGGAATTTGGGCAGGAAACGAGCCCGGGATGGGGATGGGAGCAGAGAATCCAAGGCTGGAATTGCTGGGATGGGGAAAATCCGGGAAGAGGAAAAATCCCAGGATGGATCCAGGGAATTCCTGCAGCACGAGGAGGAGGAGGAGGAAAAACCCAAATCCACACTCGGGGCTCGGTAATTCCGCGTTTTCCGCCTTTTTTCCCAATTTTTCCCAATTTTTCCCACCTTTTTCCCATTTTTTTGCACATTTTCCCAATTTTTCCTATTTTTTTCCCACTTTTTCCCACTTTTTTCCAATTTTTTCTGCCCTTTCCCAATTTTTTCCCACTTTTTCCTAATTTTTTCCCAATTTTTCCCAATTTTTCCCATTTTTTTCCCACTTTTTCCCAATTTTTCCCAATTTTTCCCCACTTTTTCCCATTTTTTTCCCACTTTTTCCCCACATTTTTCCCAAATTTTCCCATTTTTTTCCCAATTTTTCCCACATTTTTCCCAATTTTTTCCCACTTTTTCCCACTTTTTTTCCCACTTTTTTCCCCAAATTTTCCCATTTTTTTCCACATTTTTCCCAATTTTTCCCACATTTTTCCCACTTTTTCCCACATTTTCCCAATTTTTTCCCACATATTTTTCCCAATTTTTCCCACATTTTTCCAATTTTTTCCCACATTTTCCCTCATTTTTCCCAATTTTTTCCCACTTTTTCCCACCTTTTTCCCAATTTTTCCCACTTTTTCCCAATTTTTCCCACTTTTTCCCACATTTTTCCCATTTTTCTCCACTTTTCCCACCTTTCCCCCAATTTTCCTGCCATTTTCCCAATTTCCCCGCCTTTTTTTCCCGGTTTTTCCCACCTTTATCCCAATTTTTTCCCACATTTTCCCAATTTTTTCCCAATTTTTTCCACATTTTCCCACCTTTTTCCCAATTTTTCCCAATTTTTTCCCACTTTTTCCCAATTTTTCCCACCTTTTTTCCAATTTTTCTCCACTTTTCCCACCTTTTTCCCAATTTTTCTGCCCTTTCCCACCTTTTTCCCAATTTTTCCTACATTTTCCCACTTTTTTCTCACTTTTTCCCAATTTTTTCCACATTTTCCCAATTTTTTCCCATTTTTTCCCACATTTTTTCCAATTTTTCCCACTTTTTTCCCAATTTTTTCCCACTTTTTCCCAATTTTTTCCCAGTTTTTCCCCACATTTTCCCAATTTTTCCCCACATTTTTCCCAATTTTTTCCACATTTTTCCCAATTTTTCCCATTTTTTTCCCAATTTTTCCCACCTTTTCCCAATTTTTCTGCCCTTTCCCAAGTTTTTCCCACTTTTTTTCCCATTTTTCTCCAGCTTTTTTCTCACCTTTTTTCCTGCTCTTCCCACTTTTCCCCAATTTTTTTCCCACTTTTTCCCAATTTTTTCCCAAATTTTCCCCAATTTTTCCCACTTTTTCCCATTTTTTTCCCACATTTTTCCCAATTTTTCCCATTTTTTTCCGCAATTTTTCCCATTTTTTTCCACATTTTCCCAATTTTTCCCACCTTTTTCCAATTTTTTCCCAATTTTTCCCACATTTTTCCCATTTTTATCCCACCTTTTTCCCACTTTTTCCCAATCTTTCCCCACTTTTTCCCACCTTTTTCCCAATTTTTTTTCCCCTTTCCCTATTTTTCCCATTTTTTCCCACGTTTTCCCACCTTTTTTCCAAATTTTCTGCCCTTTTCCAGCTTTTCCCCACTTTTTTCCCATTTTTCTCCACTTTTCCCACATTTTCCCACTTTTTCCCACCTTTTTTCCAATTTTTCTGCCCTTTCCCAATTTTTTCCCACTTTTTTCCCAATTTTTCCCACATTTTCCCAGTTTTTCCCACCTTTTTCCCAATTTTCCTGCCTTTTTGCCCACATTTTCTCCCCACATTTTCCCACATTTTTCCCAATTTTTTCCCACATTTTCCCAATTTTTTCCCACATTTTCCCAATTTTTCCCCACATTTTTCCCAATTTTTCCCATTTTTTCCCGCAAATTTTCCCACCTTTTTTCCAATTTTCCTGCCCTTATCCTGCCTCTTTCCCACCATTTTTTCCCTCATTTTTCCCAATTTTCCTGCCCTTTCCCAATTTTTTCCCACATTTTTCCCAATTTTTCCAGCTTTTTTCCCACCTTTTTCCAGCATTTCCCATCTTTTCCCTGCCTTTTTTCCTGGTTTTCCCACTTTTTCCCAATTTTTTCCCACTTTTTCCCAATTTTTTTCCACCTTTTTCCCAATTTTTCCCAATTTTTTCCCACCTCTCCCCCAATTTTCCTGCCATTTTCCCACGTTTTTCCAATTTTTCTGCCCTTTCCCAAGTTTTTCCCACTTTTTTTCCCATTTTTCTCCACTTTTCCCGCAATTTTCCTGCCTTTTTCCCAACATTTTTCCCACATTTTTCCCCAATTTTTCCCACCTTTCCTCCTTTTTTTCCCCTTTTTTCCCACCTTTTCCCAGTTTTTTCCTGCCTTTTTCACCACCTTTTTTACAATTTCTTTGCCTTTTCCCACTTTTTTACCAACTTTTTCCCAGCTTTCCTGCCCTTTTCCCATTTTCCCACCTTTTTTCTTACTTTTCCTGCATTTTTCCAGCTTTTCCCACCATTTTTTCCCACTTTTTTCCCCATTACTTTTTCTTACCTTTTCCAGCTTTTCCCACCTTTTTCCTGCCTATTTTCCATTTTCCCCGTTTTTCTTGCTTTTCCCCAGTTTTCCCTCCCTTTTTCCTATTTTTTCCCAGCTTTTTTCCAATTAAAGACCCCAAAATTAAAAAAAAATCCCAAAAATCTCTAAACCCAAAATCCAAAAAATCCCGAAAACCCAAGAACCACAAAATCAGACACCCCAAACTTCAAGACCCGCAAAATACAAAAAAAACCCCCAAAATCTGAGAACTCAAAACCCCCAAAATTAAAGACCCCAAAATCCCAAAAATCCTCATCCCAAAATTCCCTTTTTTTCCCAATTTTTCCCATTTTTCCGCCGTTTTTAATCCCTATTTCCCCTCAGAGCCCCAGCCCGGGGCAATTTCGTCCGCCTCAACCTGAAGAGAAAATCCTATTCCCGTGCATCCATGAGGGGAAAATTCCTCCGCAAACAGGTAAAAATTCCCAAATTTTTTATTTTACCAATTCCCGACCTCTCCCCCGCTGGAATTTTAGGATTTGGGATTTTTTTGTTCCAGGTTTGGAAGCAAAAATGGAGAAAAAAGTTCGGGGGCGGAGCCGATGTTTGCTTCCGGTGTGGCGGGAAAGGGCACTGGGCTTCGGAGTGCCGAGGTGGGCCCGGGGCTTTGGGATTTCTGAGGGGATTTTTGGGATTTTTGAGGGGATTTTTGGGATTTTTGAGGGGATTTTGGGATTTTTGAGGGGATTTTGGGATAAAACAACAGGAAGAGGATGAAGGGGTTTGTTTTCCTTGAATTTTTGTGGGAATTTTGTGCAGAGGGAAGGATTTGGGTTTGTTCCAGGGGAAAATTGCGAGGTCGGGCTGGGAAATTTTGGGATTTCTGAGGGGATTTTTGGAGGTTTCTGAGGGGATTTTTTGGGATTTCTGAGGGGATTTTGGGATTTCTGAGGGGATTTTTGGGATAAAACGGCAGGAAAAGGGTGAGGAAGGTTCTTTTTCCACAGATTTTTTGGGACTTGTGCATGCAGGAAGGATTTGGGATCGTTCCAGGAGAAATTCCTGAGGAAATTGCGTGGTTAGGCCAGAATTTTTTAGGATTTCTGAGGGGATTTTTTTGGGATTTCTGAGGGGATTTTGCGATTTCTGAGGGGATTTTTGGGATAAAATGGCAGGAAAAGGGTGAGGGAGGTTCTTTTGTGTGGATTTTTGAGGGAATTTTGTGCACAGGGAAGGATTTGGGATCGTCCCTGGAAAAATTCCTGAGGCAATTGTGATTTCAGGCTGGGGATTTTTGGGATTTCTGAGGGGAATTTTTGGGGATTTTTGGATGGGAGTTTTGGGATCATTCCCTGAGAAAATTCTGATTTCAGGTTGAGAATATTTGGGATTTCTGAGGAGATTTGGGATCATTGCCAGAAAAATTCTGGAGGAAATTGCGAGGTCAGGCCGGGGATTTTTGGGATTTCTGAGGGGATTTTTTGAGGTTTCTCAGGGGTTTTTTTGGGATTTTTTGAGGGAATTTTGGGATTTCTGAGGAGATTTTTGGGATAAAACAACAGGAAAAGGATGAAGGAGTTTCTTTTCCATGAATTTTTGAGGGAATTTTGTGCACAGGGAAGGATTTGGGTTTGTTCCAGGGGAAAATTGCGAGGTGGGGCTGGGAAATTTTGGGATTTCTGAGGGGATTTTTTGAGGTTTCTGAGGGAATTTTTGGAATTTCTGAGGGGATTTTTGGGATTTCTGAGGGGATTTTGGGGATAAAATGGCAGGAAAAGGGTGAGGGAGGTTCTTTTGTGTGGATTTCTGAGGGAATTTTGTGCACAGGGAAGGATTTGGGATCGTCCCTGGAAAAATTCCTAAGGCAATTCTGATTTCAGGCTGGGGATTTTTGGGGATTTCTGAGGGGAATTTTAGCGGATTTTTGGATGGGAGTTTTGGGATCATTCCCTGAGAAAATTGTGATTTCAGGTTGAGAATATTTGGGATTTCTGAGGAGATTTGGGATCATTGCCAGAAAAATTCTGGAGGAAATTGCGAGGTCAGGCCGGGGATTTTTGGGGTTTCTGAGGGGATCTTTTGAGGTTTCTGAGGGGTTTTTTGGGGATTTCTGAGGGGATTTTTGGGATTTTTGAGGGGATTTTGGGCTAAAACAACAGGAAGAGGATGAAGGGGTTTCTTTTCCATGAATTTTTGAGGGAATTTTGTGCAGAGGGAAGGATTTGGGTTTGTTCCAGGGGAAAATTGCGAGATGGGGCTGGGAAATTTTGGGATTTCTGAGGGGATTTTTTAGGATTTCTGAGGGGATTTTTTGGAATTTCTGAGGGGATTTTTTGATTTCTGAGGGGATTTTTGGGCTAAAACAGCAGGAAAAGGGTGAGGGAGGTTCTTTTGTGTGGATTTTTGAGGGAATTTTGTGCACAGGGAAGGATTTGGGATCGTCCCTGGAAAAATTCCTAAGGCAATTCTGATTTCAGGCTGGGGATTTTTGGGGATTTCTGAGGGGATCTTTTGAGGTTTCTGAGGGTTTTTTTGGGGATTTCTGAGGGGATTTTTGGGATTTTTGAGGAGATTTTTGGGATAAAACAACAGGAAAAGGATGAGGGAGTTTCTTTTCCTTGAATTTTTGAGGGAATTTTGTGCAGAGGGAAGGTTTTGGGTTTGTTCCAGGGGAAAATTGCGAGATGGGGCTGGGAAATTTTGGGATTTGAGGGGATTTTTTAGGATTTCTGCGGGGATTTTTTGGAATTTCTGAGGGGATTTTTGGGCTAAAACAGCAGGAAAAGGGTGAGGGGGGTTCTTTTGTGTGGATTTTTGAGGGAATTTTGTGCACAGGGAAGGATTTGGGATCATTCCTGGAAAAATTCCTGAGGCAATTGTGATTTCAGGCTGGGGATTTTTGGGATTTCTGAGGGGAATTTTGGGGGATTTTTGGATGGGAGTTTTGGGATCATTCCCTGAGAAAATTCTGATTTCAGGTTGGGGAATATTTGGGATTTCTGAGGAGATTTGGGATCATTGCCAGAAAAATTCTGGAGGAAATTGTGAGGTCAGGCCGGGGATTTTTGGGGTTTCTGAGGGGATTTTTGGGATTTGTGAGGGAATTTTGGGATTTCTGAGGAGATTTTTGGGCTAAAACAACAGGAAGAGGATGAAGGGGTTTCTTTTCCTTGAATTTTTGAGGGAATTTTGTGCAGAGGGAAGGATTTGGGTTTGTTCCAGGGGAAAATTGCGAGATGGGGCTGGGAAATTTTGGGATTTCTGAGGGGATTTTTTGGAATTTCTGAGGGGAATTTTTGGGATTTCTGAGGGGAATTTTGGGATTTCTGAGGGGATTTTTGGGATAAAATGGCAGGAAAAGGGTGAGGGAGGTTCTTTTGTGTGGATTTTTGAGGGAATTTTGTGCACAGGGAAGGATTTGGGATCGTCCCTGGAAAAATTCCTGAGGCAATTGTGATTTCAGGCTGGGGATTTTTGGGATTTGTGAGGGGAATTTTTGGGGATTTTTGGATAGGAGTTTTGGGATCATTCCCTGAGAAAATTCTGATTTCAGGTTGAGAATATTTGGGATTTCTGAGGAGATTTGGGATCATTGCCAGAAAAATTCTGGAGGAAATTGTGAGGTCAGGCCGGGGATTTTTGGGGTATCTGAGGGGATTTTTTGGGATTTCTGAGGGGATTTTTGGGATTTTTGAGGGAATTTTGGGATTTCTGAGGAGATTTTTGGGCTAAAACAACAGGAAGAGGATGAAGGGGTTTCTTTTCCTTGAATTTTTGAGGGAATTTTGTGCAGAGGGAAGGATTTGGGATCGTTCCAGGGGAAAATTGCGAGATGGGGCTGGGAAAGTTTGGGATTTCTGAGGGGATTTTTTGAGGTTTCTGAGGGGAATTTTTGGAATTTCTGAGGGGATTTTTTGGGATTTCTGAGGGGATTTTTGGGCTAAAACAGCAGGAAACGGGTGAGGGGGGTTCTTTTGTGTGGATTTTTGAGGGAGTTTTGTGCACAGGGAAGGATTTGGGATCGTCCCTGGAAAAATTCCTAAGGCAATTCTGATTTCAGGCTGGGGATTTTTGGGATTTCTGAGGGGAATTTTGGGGATTTTTGGATGGGAGTTTTGGGATCATTCCCTGAGAAAATTCTGATTTCAGGTTGAGAATATTTGGGATTTCTGAGGAGATTTGGGATCATTGCCAGAAAAATTCTGGGGGAAATTGCGAGGTCAGGCCGGGGATTTTTGGGATTTCTGAGGGGATCTTTTGAGGTTTCTGAGGGGTTTTTTGGGATTTTTGAGGGAATTTTGGGATTTCTGAGGAGATTTTTGGGCTAAAACAACAGGAAGAGGATGAGGGGGTTTCTTTTCCTTGAATTTTTGAGGGAATTTTGTGCAGAGGAAGGATTTGGGTTTGTTCCAGGGGAAAATTGCGAGGTCGGGCTGGGAAATTTTGGGATTTCTGAGGGGATTTTTTAGGATTTCTGAGGGGATTTTTGGGATTTCTGAGGGGATTTTTGGGCTAAAACAGCAGGAAAAGGGTGAGGGGGGTTCTTTTTCCACAGATTTTTTGGGACTTGTGCATTCAGGAAGGATTTGGGATCGTTCCAGGAGAAATTCCTGAGGAAATGGCGTGGGTGGGCCAGAATTTTTTAGGATTTCTGAGGGGATTTTTTAGGATTTTTGAGGGGATTTTTTGGAATTTCTGAGGGGATTTTTTGATTTCTGAGGGGATTTTTGGGCTAAAACAGCAGGAAAAGGGTGAGGGGGGTTCTTTTGTGTGGATTTTTGAGGGAATTTTGTGCACAGGGAAGGATTTGGGATCATTCCTGGAAAAATTCCTGAGGCAATTGTGATTTCAGGTTGGGGAGTTTTGGGATTTCTGAGGGGAATTTTGAGGGGATTTTTGGATGGGAGTTTTGGGATCATTCCCTGAGAAAATTCTGATTTCAGGTTGAGAATATTTGGGATTTCTGAGGAGATTTGGGATCATTGCCAGAAAAATTCTGGAGGAAATTGCGAGGTCAGGCCGGGGATTTTTGGGATTTCTGAGGGGATCTTCTGAGTTTTCTGAAGGTTTTTTTGGGATTTTTGAGGGAATTTTGGGATTTCTGAGGAGATTTTTGGGCTAAAACAACAGGAAGAGGATGAAGGGGTTTCTTTTCCATGAGTTTTGAGGGAATTTTGTGCAGAGGGAAGGATTTGGGTTTGTTCCAGGGGAAAATTGTGAGATGGGGCTGGGAAATTTTGGGATTTCTGAGGGGATTTTTTAGGATTTCTGAGGGGATTTTTGGGATTTCTGAGGGGATTTTGCGATTTCTGAGGGGATTTTTGGGATAAAACAGCAGGAAAAGGGTGAGGGGGGTTCTTTTCCAGGGATTTTTTGGGACTTGTGCATGCAGGAAGGATTTGGGATCCTTCCAGGAGAAATTCCTGAGGAAATGGCGTGGGTGGGCCAGAATTTTTTAGGATTTCTGAGGGGATTTTTTGGGATTTTTGAGGGGATTTTTTGGAATTTCTGAGAGGATTTTGTAATTTCTGAGGGGATTTTGGGGATAAAACGGCAGGAAAAGGGTAAGGGAGGTTCTTTTCCATGAATTTTTGAGGGAATTTTGTGCACAGGGAAGGATTTGGGATCGTCCCTGGAAAAATTCCTGAGTCAATTGTGATTTCAGGCTGGGGATTTTTGGGATTTCTGAGGGGATCTTTTGAGGTTTCTCAGGGGTTTTTTGGGGATTTCTGAGGGGTTTTTTGGGATTTTTGAGGGGATTTTTGGGATAAAACAACAGGAAAAGGATGAAGGGGTTTCTTTTCCATGAATTTTTGAGGGAATTTTGTGCAGAGGGAAGGATTTGGGTTTGTTCCAGGGGAAAATTGCGAGATGGGGCTGGGAAATTTTGGGATTTCTGAGGGGATTTTTGGAGGTTTCTGAGGGGAATTTTTGGATTTTCTGAGGGGATTTTTGGGATTTCTGAGGGGATTTTGGGGATAAAATGGCAGGAAAAGGGTGACGGAGGTTCTTTTCCTTGAATTTTTGAGGGAATTCTGCTCACAGGGAAGGATTTGGGATCGTTCCTGGAAAAATTCCTGAGGCAATTGTGATTTCAGGCTGGGGATTTTTGGGATTTCTGAGGGGAATTTTTGGGGATTTTTGGATGGGAGTTTTGGGATCATTCCCTGAGAAAATTCTGATTTCAGGTTGAGAATATTTGGGATTTCTGAGGAGATTTGGGATCATTGCCAGAAAAATTCTGGAGGAAATTGCGAGGTCAGGCCGGGGATTTTTGGGATTTCTGAGGGGATCTTTTGAGGTTTCTGAGGGGTTTTTTTGGGATTTTTTGAGGGAATTTTGTGATTTGTGAGGAGATTTTTGGGCTAAAACAACAGGAAGAGGATGAAGGGGTTTCTTTTCCTTGAATTTTTGAGGGAATTTTGTGCAGAGGGAAGGATTTGGGTTTGTTCCAGGGGAAAATTGCGAGATGGGGCTGGGAAATTTTGGGATTTCTGAGGGGATTTTTTGAGGTTTCTGAGGGGATTTTTTTGAATTTCTGAGGGGATTTTTGGGATTTCTGAGGGGATTTTTGGGATTTTTGAGGGGATTTTGGGATAAAACAGCGGGAAAAGGGTGAGAGGTTTTCTTTGCTATGGAGTTTTGTGGGAGTTGTGCTTGCAAAGAGGATTTGGGAGCCTTCCTGGGGGAATTCCTGAGGAAATTGCGAGGTCAGACTGGGAATTTGGGGTTTCTGAGGGGATTTTTGAGGGGATTTTTGGGATTTTTGAGGGGATTTTTGGGATTTCTGACGGGATTTTGGGGATTTAGGGATTTCTGAGGGGATTTTGGGATCAAACAGCGGGAAAAGGGCGAGAGGTTTTCTTAGCCATGGAGTTTTGTGGGAGTTGTGCGTGCAAAGAGGATTTGGGATCATTCCTGGGGGAATTCCTGAGGAAATTGCGAGGTCAGGCCGGGGATTTTTGGGGTTTCTGAGGGGATTTTTTGAGATTTCTGAGGGGAATTTTGGAATAAAATGGCAGGAAAAGGGTGAGGGAGGTTCTTGTCCAGGGATTTTTGAGGGAATTGCCCATTTTGTGCACACACAGAGGATTTGGGATGGGATTTGGGATCATTCCAGGAGAAATTCCTGAGGAAATTGCGAGGTCAGACTGGGAATTTTGGGGTTTCTGAGGGGATCTTTTGAGGTTTCTGAGGGGTTTTTTGGGGATTTTTGAGGGAATTTTGGGATTTCTGAGGAGATTTTTGGGCTAAAACAACAGGAAGAGGATGAAGGGGTTTCTTTTCCATGAATTTTTGAGGGAATTTTGTGCAGAGGGAAGGATTTGGGTTTGTTCCAGGGGAAAATTGCGAGATGGGGCTGGGAAATTTTGGGATTTCTGAGGGGATTTTTTGAGGTTTCTGAGGGGATTTTTGGGATTTCTGAGGGGATTTTTGGGATTTCTGAGGGGATTTTTGGGATTTCTGAGGGGAATTTTGGGATAAAACAGCAGGAAAAGGGTGAGGGGGGTTCTTTTCCATGGATTTTTGAGGGAATTTTGTGCACAGGGAAGGATTTGGGATCGTTCCTTGAAAAATTCCTGAGGCAATTTTGATTTCAGGCTGGGGATTTTTGGGATTTCCGAAGGGATTTTTTGAGGTTTCTGAGGGGTTTTTTTGGGATTTCTGAGAGGATTTTTCGGATTTCTGAGGGGAATTTTTTGGGATTTTTGGATGGGAGTTTTGGGATCATTCCCTGAGAAAATTCTGATTTCAGGTTGAGAATATTTGGGATTTCTGAGGAGATTTGGGGTCATTGCCAGAAAAATTCTGGAGGAAATTGCGAGGTCAGGCCGGGGATTTTTGGGATTTCTGAGGGGATTTTTGGTATTTCTGAAGGGATTTTGGGATTTCTGAGAGGAATTTTGCAATTTCTGAGGAGATTTTTGGGATAAAACAGCAGGAAAAGGGTGAGGGAGGTTCTTTTCCATGGATTTTTGCAGGAATTTTGTGCACAGGGAAGGATTTGGGATCGTCCCAGGAGAAATTCCTGAGGAAATTGCGTGGTTGGGCCAGAATTTTTTAGGATTTCTGAGGGGATTTTTTGGGATTTCTGAGGGGATTTTTGGAATTTCTGAGGGGATTTTTTGGGATTTCTTAGGGGATTTTTTTGAATTTCTGAGGGGATTTTTTTGAATTTCTGAGGGGATTTTTTGATTTCTGAGGGGATTTTTGGGATAAAACGGCGGGAAAAGGGTGAGGGAGGTTCTTTTTCCATGGATTTTTGAGGGAATTTTGTGCACAGGGAAGGATTTGGGATCATTCCCAGAGGAAGTTCCCCAGGAGAAGCCGCTTCTCACTCTGGAAGAAGCTGCCCAAAGGAGCAATGGAGATTTTATGCCAGAAATTCCTGGTGAGAATCTAAATTATGGAATTCCTGCCTTAAAAAATTTGGATTTTTTTTCCTAAAAACCTGGATTTTTTTGGCTAAAATTCTGATTTTTTTTTTTTTCTTTTTTCTCTCCAGATGGATCCAACACAGAAAATTCCCAGCTCCCCTTGGATTCCCTGGATTTCCCTCCAGAAAATTTTCCAGATTTTTCTCCCCCACCCCCATGGATCCCCTTTACCCCCCCAACCCCGATGGGACCGTCCCAGGTAAATCCCAGAGCAAATCCACCAAAAAAACCTTGCAAAAAAACAGAAAAAATTTTTGAAAATTCCCATTTTTGCTCCTGAACCCTCACAGATCCTCCTGAGGAAGTGCTGGAAGCTCTGAGAACTTTGGGATTTGATTCCTTCCGGCCTGGCCAGGCTGAGGCTGTCATGAGGGTCCTTTCTGGTTGGATTTTCTGGATTTTTTCCCCCATTCCTGCCCTTTTTCCCACCATTTTTCTTAATTTTTTCCTGCCATTTTTCCTGCCCTTTTTGCCCATTATTTTTCACACCCTTTTTTATTCCCCAGCCTTTTTTTCCCCCTCCTTTTTCCACACTTTTTCCCATCCTTTCCCCCTCTTTTTTCCCACTTTTTTCCCCCTTCATTTTTCCTGCCCTTTTCTCTTTCCATTTTTCCCCTCTTTTTTCTTGTCCCTTTTTTTTCCCATCCTTTTTTCCCACCATTTTCCCTCATTTTTTTCTGCCATTTTCCTGCCCTTTTTGCCCATTATTTTTCCCACCCTTTTTTATTCCCCAGCCTTTTTTTCCCCTCCATTTTCCACACTTTTTTCCATCATTTCCCCCTTTTTTTCCCACTTTTTTCCCCCTTCATTTTTCCTGCCCTTTTCTCTTTCCATTTTCCCCCTCTTTTTTCTTCTTTTTTCCCCTGCCCTTTTCCCCTCAGTTTTTTCTGCCATTTTTCCTGCCCTTTTTTTCATTCCCCACCCTTTTCCCCCCCTCTTTTTCCTCCTTTTTTCCAATTCTTTCCCCACTTTTTTCCCTGCTCTTTTTCTTGCCCTTTTTCCCACCCTTTCTCTCTGTTTTTCCCATTTTTTTCACACCCTTTTCCTCACATTTTTTTCTCTCCTTTTTCCCAACTTTTTCCCCCTCTCCTTTTTTCCCCTGCTATTTTTCCAGACCTTTTTTCCACCCTTTCCCCATTATTTTCCCCACCTTTTTTCCCCTCTTCTTTTCCCTTTTTTTTCTTTTTCCTGCTCTTTTTCTTGCTCTTTTTCCCTCCATTTTCCCCACCTTTTTCTTTCCCTTTTTCCTTCCATTTTTTCCTGCTCTTTTTTCTCCCCCTCTTTTTTCCCCACCCTTTTTTCCTCTCCACTCTTTTTTCCTGCTCTTTTCCCCTACAGTTTTCTCACCTTTTTCCCACTCTTTTTCCCTGTTTTTTTCAGTTTTTTCCTGCCCATTTTCCCCCTCTTTTTTTTCCTGCCCTTCTTCCCCCCCTCCATTTTCCCTTCCCTTTTTTCTTTCCATTTTCCTACTCTTTTTTCTTGCCCCTTTTTTCCCACCCTTTTCCCCTTCCTTTTTTCCTACCCCTTTTTCCTCTCTCTTTATCTCCAGCTATTTTTTCCTGCCCTTTTTTCCCTCAGTTTTTCCCACCCTTTTTACTGAATTTTCCATTTTTCCCACTCTTTTTCCCCCCTCTTTTTTCCCCTTCTCTTTTCCCCACTTTTCCCCCTCAGGCTTTCCTGCCCTTTCCCCCTACATTTTCCCTCTTTCCCCACCCTTTTCCCCTCAGTTTTTCCCACATTTCCCTTCAGTTTTTACTGCCCTTTTTTCCACTTTTCCCCTCGGTTTCTCCCACTCTTTTCCCCACACTTTTCCCTCAGTTCTTCCTGCCCTTTTCCCCCACATTTTCCCTGTTTCTCCTGCCCTTTTCCCCTCAGTTTTTCCCTACATTTCCCCTCAGTTTTTCCCACTCTTTCCCCTCAGTTTTTCCTGCCCTTTCCCCTTTTCCCCTCAGTTTTCTCCACCCTTTTTCCCACCTTTTTCCCCACACTTTTCCCCTCAGGTTTCCCTGCCCTTTTCTCCACACTTTTCCCCTCAGCTTTTCCCGCCCTTTTTTCCCTCAGTTTTTCCCACTCTTTTCCCTTCAGTTTTTCCTGCTCTTTCCCCTTTTCCCCTCAGTTTTTCCCACCCTTTTCCCCGCATTTCCTCTCAGTTTTTTCCCCTGCTCTTTTCCCCACATTTTCCCTCAGTTTTTCCTGCCCTTTTCCCCCACATTTTCCCTGTTTCTCCTGCCCTTTTCCCCTCAGTTTTTCCCACATTTCCCCTCAGTTTTTCCCACCCTTTTCCCCTCAGTTTTTCAAACTCTTTCCCCTTCAGTTTTTCCCACCCTTTTCCCCAAATTCCCCCTCAGGTTTCCCTGCCCTTTTCCCACTTTTCCCCTCGGTTTTCTCCACCCTTTTCTCCACACTTTTCCCCTCAGTTTTTCCTGCCCTTTCCCACATTTCTCTTCAGTTTTTCCTGCCCTTTTTTCCACTTTTCCCCTCAGTTTTCCCCACTCTTTTCCCCACATTTTCCCTCAGTTCTTCCTGCCCTTTTCCCCCACATTTTCCCTGTTTCTCCTGCCCTTTTCCCCTCATTTTTTCCCTACATTTCCCCTCAATTTTTCCCACTCTTTTCCCTTCAGTTTTCTCCACCCTTTTTCCCACACTTTTCCCCTCAGTTTTTCCTGCCCTTTCCCCTTTTCCCCTCAGTTTTTCCTGCACTTTCCCCCTCAGTTTTTCCCGCCCTTTTGCCCTCAGTTTTTCCTGCCCTTTCCCCTTTTCCCCTCAGTTTTTCCCACTCTTATCCCCTTCAGTTTTTCCCACCCTTTTCCCCACATTTCCCCTCAGGTTTCCCTGACCTTTTCCCACTTTTCCCCTCCGTTTTTCCCACCCTTTTCCCCTCAGTTTTTCCTACCCTTTTCCCCACATTTCCCCTCAGTTTTTCCCCTTCTCTTTTCCCCACTTTTTCCCCTCAGGCTTTCCTGCCCTTTTTCCTACATTTTCCCTGTTTCTCCTGCTCTTTTCCCCTCAGTTTTTCCCTACATTTCCCCTCAGTTTTTCCCACTCTTTCCCCTTCAGTTTTCCTGCCTTTTCCCACTATTTCCCCTCAGTTTTCTCCACCATTTTCCCCACCCTTTTCCCCACACTTTTCCCCTCAGGTTTCCCTGCCCTTTCCCCTTTTCCCTTCAGTTTTTCCCACCCTTTTCCCCTCAGTTTTTTCCTGCCCTTTTCCCCACTTTTCCCCTCAGTTTTTCCCACTCTTTCCCCTTCAGTTTTTCCCGCCCTTTTCCCCTCATTTCCCCTCAGTTTTTCCTGCCCTTTCCGCTTTTCCCCTCAGTTTTCTCCACCCTTTTCCCACCCTTTTCCCCACACTTTTCCCCTCAGTTTTCTCCACCCTTTTTCCTACCTTTTTCCCACAATTTTCCCCTCAGTTTTCCCTGCCCTTTCCCCTTTTCCCCTCAGTTTTTCCTACTCTTTTCCCTTCAGTTTTTCTCGCCCTTTTCCCCTCAGTTTTTCCCACCCTTTTCCCCTCAGTTTTTCCTGCCCTTTCCCCTTTTCCCCTCAGTTTTTCCCACTCTTTCCCCTTCAGTTTTTCCTGCCCTTTCCGCTTTTCCCCTCAGTTTTCTCCACCCTTTTCCCACCCTTTTCCCCACACTTTTTCCCTCAGTTTTCTCCACCCTTCTTCCTACCTTTTCCCCACAATTTTCCCCTCAGTTTTCCCTGCCCTTTCCCCTTTTCCCCTCAGTTTTTCCTACTCTTTTCCCTTCAGTTTTTCCTGCCCTTTCCCCTTTTCCCCTCAGTTTTTCCCACCCTTTTCCCCTCAGTTTTTCCTGCCCTTTCCCCTTTTCCCCTCAGTCTTCTCCACCCTTTTTCCCACCTTTTTCCCCACAATTTTCCCCTCAGTTTTCCCTGCCCTTTTCCCACATTTCCCCTCAGTTTTCTCCACCCTTTTTCCCACCTTTTTCCCCACAATTTTCCCCTCAGTTTTCCCTGCCCTTTTCCCACATTTCCCCTCAGTTTTCTCCAGCCTTTTTCCCACCTTTTTCCCCACACTTTTCCCCTCAGGTTTCCCTGCCCTTTCCCCTTTTCCCCTCAGTTTTTCCCGCCCTTTTCCCCTCAGTTTTTCCCACTCTTTTCCCTTCAGTTTTTCCTGCCCTTTTCCCCGCATTTCCCCTCAGTTTTTCCTGCCCTTTCCCCTTTTCCCCTCAGTTTTCTCCACCCTTTTTCCTGCCTTTTTCCCACAATTTTCCCCTCAGTTTTTCCTGCCCTTTCCCCTTTTCCCCTCAGTTTTTCCCACTCTTTCCCCTTCAGTTTTTCCTGCCCTTTCCCCTTTTCCCCTCAGTCTTCTCCACCCTTTTTCCCACCTTTTTCCCCACAATTTTCCCCTCAGTTTTCCCTGCCCTTTTCCCACATTTCCCCTCATTTTTCTCCACCCTTTTTCCTACCTTTTTCCCCACACTTTTCCCCTCAGGTTTCCCTGCCCTTTCCCCTTTTCCCCTCAGTTTTTCCCCCCCTTTTCCCCTCAGTTTTTCCCACTCTTTTCCCTTCAGTTTTTCCCGCCCTTTTCCCTGCATTTCCCCTCAGTTTTTCCTGCCCTTTCCGCTTTTCCCCTCAGTTTTCTCCACCCTTTTCCCACCCTTTTCCCCACACTTTTCCCCTCAGTTTTCTCCACCCTTTTTCCTACCTTTTTCCCACAATTTTCCCCTCAGTTTTCCCTGCCCTTTCCCCTTTTCCCCTCAGTTTTTCCTGCACTTTTCCCCTCACTTTTTCCAGCCCTTTTTCCCCTCATTTTTTCCCACCCTTTTCCCCTCAGTTTTTCCCACCCTTTTCCCCTCAGTTTTTCCCACCCTTTTCCCCTCTGTTTTTCCTGCCCTTTCCCACTTTTCCCTTCAGTTTTCTCCACCCTTTTCCCCACACTTTTCCCCTCAGTTTTTCCTGCCCTTTCCCCTTTTCCCCTCAGTTTTCTCCACCCTTTTTCCTACCCTTTTCTCCAAACTTTTCCCCTCAGTTTTCTCCACCCTTTTTCCTCCACACTTTTCCCCTCAGGTTTCCCTGCCCTTTCCCCTTTTTCCCCACACTTTTCCCCTCAGTTTTTCCTGCCCTTTTCCCCACTTTTCCCCTCGGTTTTTCCCACCCTTTTCCCCACATTTCCCCTCAGTTTTTCCCCTCTCCCAACCCCCCAAAATTCCCATTTTTCCCAGGAATCTCCACCCTGCTGCTGCTACCCACGGGCTCGGGCAAATCCCTGTGTTACCAACTCCCCGCCTTCCTCTACCACCGCCGTTCCCGCTGCATCTGCATCGTCATCTCCCCCCTCATCTCCCTCATGGAAGACCAGGTATTCCCACCATTCCTGCTTTTTTTTTGGGATATTTCCCCTCACAAAATCCCAAAAAAACCCCACAATATTCCCACTCCCAGGTTTCAGGCCTCCCCTCAGCCCTCAAAGCCGTCTGCATCCACTCCAACCTCACCCCGTCCCAGCGTGAAGCAGCCATTCAAAAAGTGAGTAAAATCCTTTTCCCTCAGTTTTTCCCTGTTTTTCCCACATTTTCCTTCAGTTTTTCCCGCCCATTTTTCCACTTTTCCCCTCAGTTTTTCCTGTCCTTTTCTCCACTCTTTTCCCCTCAGTTTTTCCCACCGTTTTCCCCTCAGTTTCTCCCCCCTTTTCCCCTCGGTTTTCCCTGTTTTTCACACCCTTTTCCCCTCAGTTTTTCCTGCCCTTTCCCCCACATTCTCCTTGTTTCTCCTGCTCTTTTCCCTGCCCTTTTCCCCTCAGTTTTTCCCGCCTTTTTTCCCACATTTTCCCCTCAGTTTTTCCCACCCTTTTCCCCTCAGTTTTTCCCTGTTTTCCCCACATTTCCCTTCACTTTTCCCACCCATTTTTCCACTTTTCCCCTCATTTTTCCTGTCCTTTTCTGCACCCTTTTCCCCTCAGTTTTTCCCACTCTTTTCCCCTCAGTTTTTCCCTGTTTTCCCCACATTTCCCTTCACTTTTTCCCGCCCATTTTTCCACTTTTCCCCTCAGTTTTTCCTGTCCTTTTCTCCTGCCCTTTCCCCTCAGTTTTTCCCACTCTTTTCCCCTCAGTTTTCCCTGTTTTTCCCACCCTCTTCCCCTCAGTTTTTCCCACTCTTTTCCCCTCAGTTTTTCCTGCTCTTTCCCCCACATTCTCCTTGTTTCTCCTCCTCTTTTCCCTGCCCTTTTCCCCTCAGTTTTTCCTGTCTTTTTTCCCACATTTTCCCCTCAGTTTTTCCCACTCTTTTCCCCTCAGTTTTTCCTGCCTTTTTTTCCCACATTTCCCCTCAGTTTTTCCCACCCTTTTCCCCTCAGTTTTTCCCTGTTTTCCCCACATTTCCCTTCACTTTTTCCCGCCCATTTTTCCACTTTTCCCCTCAGTTTTTCCTGCCCTTTTCTCCACCCTTTCCCCTCAGTTTTTCCCACCCTTTTCCCCTCAGTTTTTCCCACCCTTTTCCCCTCAGTTTTCCTGCCCTTTTCCCCTCAGTTTTTCCCACCCTTTTCCCCACATTCTCCTTGTTTCTCCTGCTCTTTTCCCTGCCCTTTGCCCCTCAGTTTTTCCTGTCGTTTTCTCCACCCTTTTCCCCTCAGTTTTTCCCGCCCTTTTCCCCTCAGTTTTTCCTGCTCTTTCCCCCACATTCTCCTTGTTTCTCCTGCTCTTTTCCCTGCCCTTTTCCCCTCAGTTTTTCCTGCCTTTTTCCCACATTTTCCCTCAGTTTTTCCCACTCTTTTCCCCTCAGTTTTTCCCTGGTTTCCCCACATTTCCCTTCACTTTTTCCCGCCCATTTTTCCACTTTTCCCCTCAGTTTTTCCCACCCTTTTCCCCTCAGTTTTTCCTGCCTTTTTTACCGCCCATTTTTCCATTTTCCTCTCAGTTTTTCCTGTCCTTTTCTCCACCCTTTCCCCTCAGTTTTTCCCACCCTTTTCCCCTCAGTTTTTCCTGCCCTTTCTCCCACATTCTCCTTGTTTCTCCTGCTCTTTTCCCTGCCCTTTTCCCCTCAGTTTTTCCCGCCCTTTTACCCCACATTTTCCCTCAGTTTTTCCCACTCTTTTCCCCTCAGTTTTTCCCTGTTTTCCCCACATTTCCCTTCACTTTTTCCCGCCCATTTTTCCACTTTTCCCCTCAGTTTTTCCTGTCCTTTTCTCCACCCTTTCCCCTCAGTTTTTCCCACCCTTTTCCCCTCAGTTTTTCCTGCCCTTTCCCCCACATTTTCCTTGTTTCTCCTGCCCTTTTCCCCTCAGTTTTTCCTGCCTTCTTTCCCACATTTTCCCTCAGTTTTTCCCACTCTTTTCCCCTCAGTTTTTCCCACCCTTTCCCCCACATTTTTCTTGTTTCTCCTTCTCTTTTCCCTGCCCTTTTCCCCTCAGTTTTTCCTGCCTTCTTTCCCACATTTCCCCATAGTTTTTCCCACTCTTTTCCCCTCAGTTTTTCCCTGTTTCCCCCACATTTCCCTTCACTTTTTCCTGCCCAATTTTCCACTTTTCCCCTCAGTTTTTCCTGTCCTTTTCCCCACTCTTTTCCCCTCAGTTTTTCCCACCCTTTCCCCCACATTCTCCTTGTTTCTCCTGCTCTTTTCCCTGCCCTTTTCCCCTCAGTTTTTCCTGCCTTTTTTCCCACATTTTCTTTCAGCTTTTCCCACCCTTTCCCCTCAGTTTTTCCCACCCTTTCCCCCACATTTTCCTTGTTTCTCCTGCTCTTTTCCCTGCCCTTTTCCCCTCAGTTTTTCCTGCCTTTTTTCCCACATTTCCCCTCAGTTTTTCCCACCCTTTTCCCCTCAGTTTTTCCCTGTTTTTCCCACATTTCCCTTCACTTTTTCCCGCCCATTTTTCCACTTTTCCCCTCAGTTTTTCCTGTTCTTTTCTCCACCCTTTCCCCTCAGTTTTTCCCACTCTTTTCCCCTCAGTTTTTCCTGCCCTTTCCCCCTCAGTTTTTCCCAGCATTTCCCCACATTCTCCTTGTTTCTCCTGCTCTTTTCCCTGCCCTTTTCCCCTCAGTTTTTCCTGCCTTTTTCCCCACATTTTCCCTCAGTTTTTCCCACCCTTTTCCCCTCCGTTTTTCCCTGTTTTCCCCACATTTCCCTTCACTTTTTCCCGCCCATTTTTCCACTTTTCCCCTCAGTTTTTCCTGTCCTTTTCTCCACCCTTTCCCCTCAGTTTTTCCCACCCTCTTCCCCTCAGTTTTTCCTGCTCTTTCCCTCATATTCTCCTTGTTTCTCCTGCTCTTTTCCCTGCCCTTTTCCCCTCAGTTTTTCCTGTCTTTTTTCCCACATTTTCCCTCAGTTTTTCCCACCCTTTTCCCCTCAGTTTTTCCCGCCCTTTTACCCCACATTTTCCCTCAGTTTTTCCCACTCTTTTCCCCTCAGTTTTTCCCTGTTTTCCCCACATTTCCCTTCACTTTTTCCCGCCCATTTTTCCACTTTTCCCCTCAGTTTTTCCTGTCCTTTTCTCCACCCTTTCCCCTCAGTTTTTCCCACCCTTTTCCCCTCAGTTTTTCCTGCCTTTTTCCCCACATTTTCCCTCAGTTTTTCCCACTCTTTTCCCCTCAGTTTTTCCTGCCCTTTCCCCCACATTCTCCTTGTTTCTCCTGCTCTTTTCCCTGCCCTTTTCCCCTCAGTTTTTCCTGCCTTTTTCCCCACATTTTCCCTCAGTTTTTCCCACCCTTTTCCCCTCAGTTTTTCCCTGTTTTCCCCACATTTCCCTTCACTTTTTCCCACCCATTTTTCTACTTTTCCCGTCAGTTTTTCCTGTCCTTTTCTCCACCCTTTCCCCTCAGTTTTTCCCACCCTTTTCCCCTCAGTTTTTCCTGCCTTTTACCCCACATTTTCCTTGTTTCTCCTGCTCTTTTCCCTGCCCTTTTCCCCTCAGTTTTTCCCGCCCTTTTTCCCACATTTCCCCTCAGTTTTTCCTGCTCTTTTCCCCACGGTTTTCCCTGTTTTTCCCACTCTTTTCCCCTCAGTTTTTCCCACCCTTTTCCCCTCAGTTTTTCCTGCCTTTTTCCCCTCAGTTTTCCCTGTTTTTCACACCGTTTTCCCCACATTTCCCCTCAGTTTTTCCCACTCTTTTCCCTTCAGTTTTTTTCCTACCCTTTTCCCCACATTTTCCTTGTTTCTCCTGCTCTTTTCCTTCCCTTTTCCCCTCAGTTTTTCCTGCCTTTTTTCCCACATTTTCTCTCAGTTTTTCCCACCCTTTTCCCCTCAGTTTTTCCTGCCCTTTTCCCCTCAGTTTTTCCTTGTTTCCCCCACATTATCCTTCACTTTTTCCCACCCATTTTTCCACTTTTCCCCTCAGTTTTTCCTGTCCTTTTCTCCACCCTTTTCCCCTCAGTTTTTCCCACTCTTTCCTCCTCAGCTTTTCCTGCCTTTTTCCCCACATTTTCCCTCAGTTTTTCCCACCCTTTTCCCCTCAGTTTTTCCCTGTTTTCCCCACATTTCCCTTCACTTTTTCCCACCCATTTTTCCACTTTTCCCCTCAGTTTTTCCTGTCCTTTTCCCCACTCTTTTGCCCTCAGTTTTTCCCACTCTTTTCCCCTCAGTTTTTCCCACCCTTTCCCCCACATTTTCCTTGTTTCTCCTGCTCTTTTCCCTGCCCTTTTCCCCTCAGTTTTTCCTGCCTTTTTCCCCACATTTTCCCTCAGTTTTTCCCGCTCTTTTCCCCTCAGTTTTTCCCTGTTTTCCCCACATTTCCCTTCACTTTTTCCCACCCATTTTTCCATTTTCCCCTCAGTTTTTCCTGTCCTTTCCCCCACTCTTTTCCCCTCAGTTTTTCCCACCCTTTCCCCCACATTTTCCTTGTTTCTCCTGCTCTTTTCCCTGCCCTTTTCCCCTCAGTTTTTCCTGCCTATTTTCCCTCAGTTTTTCCCACTCTTTTCCCCTCAGTTTTTCCTGCCCTTTTACCCCACATTCTCCTTGTTTCTCCTGCTCTTTTCCCTGCCCTTTCCCCCTAAGTTTTTCCTGCCTTTTTTCCCACATTTTCCCTCAGTTTTTCCCTCAGTTTTTCCCACCCTTTTCCCCTCAGTTTCTCCTGCCCTTTTCCCCTCGGTTTTCCCTGTTTTTCATACCCTTTTCCCCTCAGTTTTTCCCACCCTTTTCCCCTCAGTTTTCCCACCCTTTTCCCCACATTTTTCTTGTTTCTCCTGCTCTTTTCCCTGCCCTTTTCCCCTCAGTTTCTCCTGCCCTTTTCCCCTCAGTTTTCCGTTTTTCACACCCTTTTCCCACATTTCCCCTCAGTTTTTCCCAGCCTTCTCCCCTCAGTTTTTCCTGCTCTTTCCCCCACATTCTCCTTGTTTCTCCTGCTCTTTTCCCTGCCCTTTTCCCCTCAGTTTTTCCTGCCTTTTTTCCCACATTTCCCTCAGTTTTTCCCACCCTTTTCCCCTCAGTTTTTCCCTGTTTTCCCCCACAGTTCCCGTAACTTTTTCCCGCCCATTTTTCCACTTTTCCCCTCAGTTTTTCCCACCCTTTTCTCCACCCTTTCCCCTCAGTTTTTCCCACCCTTTTCCCCTCAGTTTTTCCTGCCTTTTTTTCCCACATTTCCCTCAGTTTTTCCCACTCTTTTCCCCTCAGTTTTTCCCTGTTTTCCTAC